AACACACATTTTAAATCATTTCAAATTGTTGTGCCAAGTCTTGACATATCCACAATTTCAAAATTTTGATACTTATTCAATACCATCTTCCTCAACATTTTACTTCCCATCCTTGAGCTACTCATATTTTCTTCAACCAGATAAGATTCAATTTTTTCTTTGTAATTTCTTTTCTGATTCAGCTAATTTTATATTGTTCAGCCTATGCTGTGAACCTTGGCTTAATTTTGCTCTTTTTCTGGACAGGAATTAAGCTTTTCTGTTTGCTGCTAATTCATAACATGCCTGACATGTTTCTGGGCAGTAGGTGGCCCCACTTCAAAATTTCTTTAGAAATTTTTCTAGAAACTTGATAGACATTATATTAAGACCCTTCTAGTGCACATATTAATGACATTTTTGATATTATGTATGGTTTGGCTGTGCAGCTTTTAAGATGAGTTTCTTTCTGCCATTTTAGTGCCAAATAATTCTACCCTACAAAAATCTTCAGATGATTCAATTGTTTTCTGCAGTTTGAAGTTTCTGATGACTTCCTATCACATTTTCATATGTTCTGCAGTTAATTTCAGCTTTATTCATTCAGCAAAAGCATTCCCACTTGCTGTTTCTCCGAAACAGCTTTTTCTAGTATAGACTGTTATTTATCCAGAAGCATTTATCTCTTGACACTCATCCCTAAGCACTCGTCTCTTTGCAAGACATAGGTCTTGTTCTCTGTACTGCCTTCTCCAGATGGAGGAAAAAAAAGGAATTCAAAAAACATCCTGAGCGGCAAAGAAGTTCAAAGTATGGCTTTATCACCATCATCAAAACATCTAAGACTTCTGGGAAAACATTTCTATCAGGTGAGGAGAGACAAAAAGCAGTGATAGGGAAGTTTACCGAAGGTCCAGGAGGCCCCTGGGGGCCGATGCTGTCCTGTGTACAAGTGCAGGAGTGGGGGAGAGAAGGACACTTGGCCTCGTCTCGCTGGAAGGAAAAAAAAAAAGATGCAGAGATAAAGTTCAAAATTACATGCAGATTCAAATTCTACTGCACTGCTTTGTAAATTCTTTGATAACTGAGGACATTTTATTGCAAAATAAAGGATACAAGGAGGAAATGAACTGCTTGACTTTTCCTGGAAATCTCTGTATTTTTCTTTAATAAGGATTAATAAAAGCTGAGGCATTTTGAAACCTAGTATAGCTTGAAAATTGAATAATGAAAATGAGACCTAGAAAGACGAAATGTGGTTCTTAGGCAGAAAATGCGACGGATCTCATGCACAATTCTGAATTGCAGTCCTTACACATAATGAGTTAAATAATGCTGCAATCGTTGATGTGATGTATTAATGTCTGAAGCAAATTACACATGAATTACTTGTAATTGCCTAAATATGCAAGCACTCTGTATTTCCCACAGAACAGAACAGATTGTTTTCCACTGTCTGCTAAATGAGACAAAGGACGGCTTGTTTTCACGCAACTGGGACGCATGATTCAAAAGGTCTAATTAGCAGAATCACTAAGGATATAAGGTCCTTCTCAAACAAGTTGAGATGCTTTTTTTCTTTTTAACCACTTTTTTAAAGAAGAACTGAAAATTTAATGGTATCAGAAATGACTGATCCCCAGCTTGTCAGAGATTGAAGAATCCAATTTCTTTCCTGTCAGTGAACACATCATACTGAAGGCTGCCAGTTTAAACTGACAAAAACTCTCTTTAAGTGTAGAGAAAAAAAAATTTTGCAGCCATTTTCTGTCTCAGATACTTATCTGCAGACCAAACAAAAAACTTACTATATTTTGTCAGATTTTCATTAGACAATCTCATAAACATAAGATCAGCCTCTTTCACAGAAGCAAAACTGATATTTTGCACTTTTTATGAGAAATTTGAATGCATCGGCATCCACTTAAATTCTATTTTGATCAGATGGGGAATCTAAAGTGACACTTACTGTTGCTGGCAGTTCGCAGCATTTGTCCCGGCTTATCCAGCTCAGGCTACAGACAATATCAAACATCTGGAGTTGGAACTACAAGATGAAAGAAAGACACATTACAGAGTGATTCAAAAGACGCCTATTCATAATTAAAAAAATAACAGTTGAAAAAATACAATAGGAGGTTTGCAAACTTTCCTCTTTTCAAAAGCCAATACAGACTATTCAAAATTCAAGTGGTGCTGCCATCCACATCAGATTTTAGAGGTTCATTGTTTTTGAACAGTGTGAGAACCTCTTCCAGATGTCACTTTTGCAATTGTAACAAACTTTTTTTTTTTCCTCTTACAGTTGCTGAGGCCTTCCTTGAACCCGAAGCTTTGACCATCTTGCCAAGCACTTCATTGCCCTCCAGCGTGATGTTATTGGCCTCTTTGATGGGTTTCTCTGCCACCTCTTGGCAGTCCACAGTGAGTTTGACTTTTTCTGGTGAGATGGTAATGTGGATCTGGAAAAGAGAGAAAATGGAGAGGGGGAAGCTTTTAACAAAACATCCTTGTCCTCTTGCAATTCCACCTATTTCAAATTTATTGATCCATGAGGCCACAGGAAATTTTAAGAAGATGGTGCTGGGACTCATTTGAATTTACAGGAGACATGCTTGTACTTTAAAAGACAACAATGAGTTTTTTTATGCAAACTGTGACCCCCCTCAATCTCGGGAATTAAGAAATGTTAAGCCTTTAAATCACCTTAAGCAGAAATGGAAGGACCTAGAAGTCTCGATTTGTAATCCCTTTAGAAAACCTGGATCATTAAAAAAATTATGCAACAGCTGGCTATTCATCTTAGATCTGTGATTAGATAACAACCAAATGAAAAGGTGGTACATTTTTGTATTTTCAGAGAATAGACTCCAAATCCACACATCTTGAAACAATATTTTCTGCGGCTCACTGTCAGAACTCCTACACTTTCCATACTTTTCCCTTTGCAAATGCAGATTTTCTCCTGCTTCAAAAAGTAAAACAAGCACTTTTTATGTCAGCAAAAAGCCACTCACCATTTCTCTCTACAAAGCTACACCAACCACAAACCTGGCCGTAGTTCCTGGCAACCATTCACAAATTATAGTCTACTTCCTTGGAAGCGGAACAAACCATTTGGTCGACCACAGACGGAAAAGGGGTGTCATTCCTTCTAGGGTTTTGGCATAAATGCAAATCAAAATGCTCTTCAAGGTTCCCCAAAACTAATGAGGATCCTACGCCATCATATATAATGAATAAGTATATCCTGTACATACTCCTATAAAAACATTACTTTGGAAACTTAAAGCTTTGGGAATGCTAGTTTCAGAGCAACATTCCCTTAACTGATGATTGTTACGAGAGAGTCCCACAGCATCAAAGTGTTGACACATAAATCCACTTCATGAATTGTTGGCAATCTCTTCAGTTGTCTCAGTTGTCTACATATTGACCCCAGCTGAACTCTCATTGATTTAGCATCTTTTCATGATTCCCCACAGATAACATTATATTGTTCTATGCTCCTTCTTCATTGCTCTGTAATATTTCAGAATCACAACATTTGAAAGACATGGTTATTGCTTTATTGATGCACTTACAATAACATGAATGTCTTCTCTATGAAAATGAAAAATAAGTTTGTTTTTGATGGGATGAAACGCTGACATCAGAGAATCGAGTCTTATTTACAATGGCTTTAAAACTTTGAGCTGGTTTGAAACCCAAACTTATCATTTTCTTATCTTTTCTAAAGGGAGATTTGGGTTTCTGCTTGTACACACATGGATTAATAATAAAAAATTAGCTTTTTTTGTTGTTTTCCTGGCTTAATTGCAACATTTATAACATCAGCAAAGTCATTCTTAATAAGCATCTAGATCACTGACTTCCCATCGATAAGTACAGTCGATATTCTAATATATGCTCATGATGCTGCATAACAACGCATACAAGGGAATTCACCATGTAGCTGAATGGTTCCTATCTTTGTGGGAACTAGGAAAAAAATATATTAATATTAATCAATAAATTCAGTCTCTAGCTAATTTACTAATCAGCTTGTACATAAAAGGTAATTTCAGCTTTATTTTCCAACCCAACACTGTGGTGCCTGTCGTTGATATAGAAAGAGATTTTTGCTATCTTGAAAAACCATAGCTCAGGGATCTCACTGTACAAAATTAAGTAATGTTATTTAAAACCAACCTTATTGAGAAAGAGAATCACTGTCACTGAGATTTCAGCTCAGATGCCAAAAACAAACAGTCATTGAGGTCATTCAGAGAGAGCCAAAAAGATTCAGCAAACCACTGACAACATGTAAACTCACACCACCACCGCAGGCAGAGTCGGCACTTACTCTGCAGACCAACAAATAAGCGGCTAGGTAGACCACTGCGGACTTGCCAGCTCATGGAACAGCAACACTGCACCACAAAATAGCCACCCAGGGCATATTCAGACTATAGCCGCAAGCTGAGAGAACAGAAACACACTAACACACTTGTACGCTCAAAAATTAGTCTGTTTTACAACCAGCCCGACAAAGAAGCGTGATATTCATCAAACACTAAACTAAACTTTTCCAAACTCCCATTCATTCATGAAGCTAAGACACAATTATTTGTTTAGATGTTAAATGGTTGAACTGGAAACCTATTTCGAGTGCCCTCTGATGTTTGTGGCCAGCATATCTATCAGGAGAACTTTGATGTTGGATAAGACCCACACTCATTAAAAGGGGTCACAGATGGGGATAACCTCGGATTTTGAGAAAGAAAAAGGATTCTATACGACAGATAAAAAGAAGCCCAATGTCCTTTTGAGCAAACCTTGAAATCTGGTCAGACTTATCTCGGATGGTTGTAGTTCAGACCGTTCAAGCTAGCAGGAAACATACTGAATTATTTTCTTCTTTCCACATCTCAAAGCGCTGTTACACAACAACAAGTGTTTTATCTCCCCTGCTGCTTTGCATTGTGTTTGGAGATATTTGATGTCTTTGTTTGCAGTTTGTGAGAAACCATAAGTCCACAGTACGCAGCCGACTTGAGCATAAGGATCTGATGCTGTGGTTTAACTTCTGAAAATAATCAAAGTCATTTTGATTTGGATATTCTATTTTAAAGAGCCCTCTGGACATTGCTTATCTAAAGCAGCAAAAACACTTGAGCAGAGCTCCAATCAGTATGGCATTGTAGCACCTATTAAAAACAGACTGGAAAAATGTTTTGGATTGACAGAAAAAGATAATTGAACAATGAGTCAGACTTTGCAAAGTCAGCATCATGGATGCATGCTTTAATAGATGCAGAGATTTTGATATAATAGCTTTAATTAAGAAAAACACAATAAATGACAAGTGGTCTATTCTTATAACACATATACGTACATACATATATATATTAAGTTAGTTAAAATCTGGGACTAAGATTAATTGAGACTTTCAACCTATTATACTGTTTTTAATATTTTACTCATTCTCATTCCTTTGTACTAATTGTTGTTTTTTTGCACCATATCACTTATTATCAATAATTGAGTCTGATTTTAAAATCTAGTCCTGAACACTATGTTGAACACATTAAAATCAGCAACTAAGTCATAAGACTCTCACTCCTACCAATAGGTTTTAAACTTATTTATGGCCACTGAAGCTAATTTATCAAATTAAGTGCCTGTTGTAAGTGAAACAAAGCTCAAATGTCAAATCATAAAAAAGGGGGCCCTAAAATCGCAGTGACAGCAAACTAAGACTGGGATTGAAAGGAGAGGTCTTTTGAAAGGTGACATGAAACAGCGCCACAGCAGAGAACCTCACAATAAGGGATAATTCAGCCAGATTAAATGAGGCGGAAGAGACTCACATAAAAGACTGTCAAACGAAATATAATGGAAAGGGAAATAATGGACTGGAAATACCATAAGATCCTCCAATTCAAAGGGAAAAAAGGTCATTTTTTACAAATATCATTACAACATACAATACAAACATCACATTTTCACTTAAAAAAAAAACACAGGGAATGTTTACCTTATGGAAACTGCCATGGAAAATTCGCTTGACTTGTGCTTCATTAAAGACAGCTCTCTGAATCTCTCCTCGGGTATCCTTGTTGTAGAACGTGAGAGTTTGAGTGGAGGCTGTAAAGACCAGAGACTTGGATAAATCACTGACAATATGTTCCAATGCACGCAACAGTCAGGCCTATAGAGAACACATACGTATGGCTTGCAGGTATTAGCAGTATTCACAGAAGACTGTTTCATTCCTTCCTAGTGCAGAAGCATAAACGTACAGCAGATGTTCACACAACAATGAAGTCTTTTCATGATAGATTAAGAGTGTAGGCTTTTCCTAATTTATTCTGAAAGAAATGGGTTGAATTTTCCATTAAATTCTTTCACCCATCCAGCTTTGTAAAGAGAAGAAACTGCAAGAAGTTTAAGATCATCAAAGCTCTCTGCAGTGCATTGAATTAATATCCTATGGCCTTTTCCACATTTTGTCACGTTATAGCCACAAAACGTGTGTTTTACTGGAACTTTTATGAAAGACAGACACAAAGTAATGCATTAGAAGTCGATGGAGAGAGAAAACTTAAGAAGAAAACCCCTTTGACTCCAATACCCCTACATAAAATTGTCTTCAAAACCAGGGCCGCCCTTTACAGTTGCCTTTTGTATCTCTGCTTCTGTCTCCTTGAACTCCAGTCGGCCTCGGCAGATGGCCGCTCACACTTAACCTGGTTCTGCTGGAGGTTTCTTCCTGTTAAAACAGAGTTTTTCCTCTCCACTGTCACTGCAAGCATGCTTAGTGTAAGGGCCTCAATGAGTCGATGCAATCAAATGGTTTTCCTTAGAAAACTTGGAATCAATTTGAATGTATGATCTGGTGAATTGTAAAGTGCCTTGAGATGACATGTGTTGTGAATAGATGCAATATAAATAAAAAAATTTTCAAAAGAACTCTTTTGCAAAAATAAAGTCCACTTGTGAATAGTTTATTCACAATAAATGCAGCTGTTCTGTCAAGGTTTGTTAGAGGTTTTAAGTAAACAAACATCAATGTGAAGAACAAGCAAAACCTCAGACAGATCAGGAATAAGATTAGAGCTATAGCAGGGGGGAAGTTTCAACACAGCACTAAAAGCTTTGAATATCCCAGACAGCACTGTTCCATCCATCATTTGAAAATTGAAAAAGCATGGCACAATTGTAATGCAAACATGCTAAGACATGGCCATGTGGTTAACTGACAGAATGAAATGGGAGAGTATTTATCAGAGAAGCAGCCAGAAGGCAGATGGTAACTCTGGAGAGGCTGTGTGAGTCTACTGTTCAGATGAGATGAAAAATTTAGCATTTGAAAGCCATTGTTGAAAGAAAAATAAATATAAGAAGCGTGGTGTCTAGCTTTGGGAATGCTTTTGTTCAGCAGGGACAGAGGAGCAAGTCAGAGATCACTGGAGGGTGGAGGGAGCAGATGGAGCTGCATACAGTGCAAAGCTGGAAGACAATCTGTTCAACATATTCTCATTATCAGTTCGTATGAAATCGTAAGAAAAGTTATGCACAGTATTTCGTACGTTTTTTACGTCTTTCCTCGAAAAAACAGATCAGTGCGCATGCGCAGCCAGACAGTCGGAAAAAGCAGATCTGCGGACGGACGTAAAACTGGGAAAAACAGTGCAATAATTACTTATTGATGTCTCTAACTACGTTGCTTGCTGTTTTGTATCTTAGGGTTAGGGTCAGAGTTAGGGTTAATTGTATGTTAAATTCTAGGTTATTGAATCGTGCGTAAGATGCGCATGCGCAAAGATATCTTGTCTCGAGGCAAGACGTAAAAATACGACGAAATACCACGAAAAAAATGTCAAAAATGTATGAAATTACTGTGCATAACTTTTCGTACGATTTCATACGAACTGATAATGAGAATACACTGATCTGTTGGACAGTGCAGAGGACCTGATATCTGGGTGTGAGGTCGAACTCTAAACATGCAAGCAGTGCTGTGATGAAATGCTATAGATCGAAATCTATTAATCTACAAGAATGGCCTAGTCAAAGTTCAGTTACAAATCAAATTTGAAATGTATGGAAAGAATAAGAAATTAATGGAAATCCCAATATGTGTTTTTGTGGAGCCCAGAGGGTGGATCAGTTTGAGCCACTGGCTCTAGGCCCTGACTTAGCAATGGCCAAATGCTGCCAAGGCAGCAGAGGACAGGATGAGTCACTCTGGAGGCGAGTGGCCATGTAAGTTGTATTCATATCCTAACATGGAACAAGGATCACAATGATCACAGAAGCCTGTAGCAGTGGCGAAGTACTCTTTGAACCAACATGCAAAATCAACTGAAGACTATTTTGTGACAGATATTGCAGGCCTCAACAAGCTGACATAAAAATGGTAAACAATGCACAGTAACATTAAAATAGCACACAGTAGTCCAAGTTTATCTGCAAAAAAATAGTTGGTTTTGGGCTGAGTTATATTTTAAAGTGTCTTTTTGACATCTAAAGAGACAAAGGGGTCCAAATGGGCGGGAATACATTGCATGGACTGGGTCAACCGCTTTCCTCTGTTCACGTTGATGGAAACTTACGATTAATTGTGACGCCAACTTCAGGGTTGTTGTTTTTGTCAGCAATCTGCCAGATATCAAAAGGTTCAGAAGGCGTATCAGGCAAGAGACGGAGGAGCAGGATGATGGTGTAAGATGGAGGAAGACCGTCTGGATGTATCTCCCTGCGAAAACATTCATTGTCAGAGTGATCGTCTACTTTTTGCAATAATGCTCCAACATCGGATGAAAATCCAGCTGCAAATAGAATCTGGTTTGTAAAATATGCAGAAGAACCTTGAAACGATTCCCCTCAGGCTTTGCCTAAATTGAATGCATATGGAAAGACTTTTTCAAGTTCTCTTCTCTCATGTTTTTAAAAGGGTTTTCACTTGCTCACATTAAGGGAGTGGCTGTACCCGCATATGCATCATTTTACAGAACTACATACTCTCAGGTAGGACGTGACTTATGCAAATATGTTAATTCATTTAAACCAAAACCCTTTGAATTGATTGTTTCCTCGGGCTGTAATGTGAAGGAATAGTTCATGCAGTAACTAGAATCATCCTTTAAGATAACCCAAAAAGCCACAGAGTGGGCTAGAGATCACTGCGGGACTCCCTCTAAAGAGATGAGTTACTACCATTTTAAATAACGACTGCTGAGAAGGACCACAGAGCGTGTAGCAGAGCAGAGTTCGCTTAGCTGCCCTGGAAATATTCATATTGTAAGAGTTACGCGCCTTTTCTTTAAACACAAACACCATTTTGCATAAACTCTTACTTGGTGGGTTGAGTCAGGTAGGAGTCTTTGTGCAGCCTGTAGGCAATGTAACTGTTAAAGGAACCGGGCTCCATAGACACGCCATTCATGCCGGCGAATGTCCGGTCTGTGATGTTAAAAGCTTTGAGCATTCTAAAGCCTGAAAGGAAGGAATGAACAGGGGCAACAATGAGAAGATGAAAGATTAAAGGAAGACATCTTAGCAAAGTCAACAAGCTCTCCAGGCATGGGTCTGTGTACAAGGTGGAGTATTTAAATGCTTACCAGGTGTGGTGTATCCATTGATGTAGATTAGAGGGCAGGCTGCAAGATCACAAGAAGGTATGAGATGTTGGAAAACAGATTAGGTGTAAACACTGGGTTATTTACAGCTGTGAACACATTGGTTTTTACACCGCTGATGAAGATTTGTAAAGTTATTTATTTCATTTTTTTTCTTTTGTTTTTTATCGCAGAAGATGTCAATCTAGATTTCAGGGAAATCCAAAGTATACTCATCATTGGGGAGGATATGCCATGTTAATATTTTCTAAAAATACAAAAAAATAAAATAATTGCTATCCCTGCTATAATTAAAGTAGTGTCAGAAGCACAAACTCTCTTTTTTGTCCTGGGTTCCCTCTTTCGCCTTTTTTCATGAGCTCAAATAAAGAGTTTTTCTCAAAGGTAACGCCTGAGAGTTGAGCTTGATGAAACCAACATTTTTGTGTTTAATGAACCATTTTGTTTCTATTTGGCTATGTGTTTTTTAATCACCTGTTTAACACAATTATAAATGTCAGTTTTATGTAAGTTAATCGTTATTTTGTGTATTTTTAATGAGATTATTGTGTTTTAAATTGTTCCTAATGTCATGATCTTGGAGCTGATGACTAAATTGCTCATTTCATTCACCTGTCTAACTCTGCCCTGTTTCTCATCACTGCTCATCTGATCCACCTGCTCCTGTTTCTATTTAAACTGCTCGGTCCCAGCCATCAGTGTCAGATTATTCTTGAGCCTTTGATGTAGAGAGTTTTCCAGCATTACTTTGAATGTTCTGTTTGCCTGATCCTGAACTGTTTCTGTCTTCGGATCTTGGAGCATGCCTGCCTTTTCTAATCTGTTTGCTTGACTTGTTTTCAAATTGCGGTTGGATTCTGTCTGCTTACGACCTTGGATCTGCCTCCTGATTTCACTCTCTGGATTATCCTTCCTTTCGTCATCTGCTCAGATCTGATCTCCTCTCAGTTCTGTGACCTTCAAGACGTTGGTGTCTGGAAATCTCTGTGCGGCAAGCGCTGCATCTTGTTTAGCTGACCAGCTGGTATCTCCCTCATTCTCTGGACTCGGACTGAACTCTAAACCAGGTTAGTAACCTATGCTTCCTCTCACCAGAGTTACCTCCCAAAGACGCCCTAGCCGCTGCTGCTGCAGGTCCGCTAACTGTCCAGTTTTATATAAATGCTTTTGAAGCTATTCCACTGTCTGTCTTGCCTGAATACTGGGTCCCTCTGTTCTGAGTCATTATACCAAATACTCTTTCAAGGGTCCTCAGAACCTATTGAAGGAAAAACCACACCATAACACAGTACTTAACTGTGGATCTGTAGTATCTTCCATAGTTATAGTCTCATCTGACCAAATGAAAATTTCACCTTGCATGTAGGCATTTTTTTATTAAGAAAATCTAAATAAAAATGTTTCAGTTGGATTTATTTTGAACAAATTGTTAGTTATAGCAACAATTTAATCTCTGGTACTTTGTTAAACTACATTATTTTAAATACTGGACATATTTCCCCACGAAATAAATGCATTATAATAATTAATTACCGTAATAATAATTTGATCTTTTTAATATAAACATTTTATTATATTGTGAATCTGTGCCCATTCACTGAATAGGCACATAGATGATAGACTCCATGCACATGTGTACTAATAAATTAGTATAAAAATAATATTTTTGATGGTATATGTCTTACTGGATGTTGCAGTTTCACAGATGAATGTGATGAGGTTATCTTGGATTTTGTCGAAAGCATCGTAGTCATCTACGACAAAGACGTGCCTCTCGCTGGGCTTGCTGCCAATAACCGTCAGTTCTCTCATATCCACATCAGCGACTCCAACCACGAATACACTATACCCTGTATGATACACACAAAGCAAACACAAAGGCTATTGTTTAGCGCATCAAAAAGCCACAGGCGTTTCCACTATGTTTTAGATTACTCTCTGAGTTTGTGAACTAATCAGCCACATGCATCAGCTCTGCTCTATGAAAGCAGCGGTTTCAAAGTTATGCACTCCAATACATTTGTTTGGCACAACGCAAAGCCGAGTAAACATGACACCGTGCATACCAGAGTGCTGCAGTTTTTCTGCACTCTTCTTAACTTCATCCTGGGAGCGTCCATCCGTGACAACAACCAGCACTTTGGGGACGTTTCTCCTCATGCCGCTGTCTGATGTGAAGACTTTCTCGTAGACATGCTTCAGAGCAACACCTTAAAAAAAAAAAATAATAATAATTTCCTCTTAACGATTCCAACAGATACTTTGGAAGATGTCTTTGCTTTTAGGGTAAGTACCAGTCTTGGTGTTGCCGCCTCTGTAGTTAACTGACTGCAAAGCTGATAACACAATTCCCTTGTCGTGGTAGGTGTTAAGCTTGAACTCAGTCTTGGCATCATCACTGTACTGCACAAATGAAACCTGTCCGAAAACACAGTAAAAAATTGGGTGTTAAAAAGTCAGAGTTTACCTATTTAACTCTAAATGGAATATTTACAACTATACTGAGTCCAAATCGGCTGAAGTGTTGGAGTCAGTGTAAAATTTGACCCAGAGTAACTTTGCCACAGAGTAACTTTGACTCTATACCAGGGGTATAGAGTCGATCAAAAATCAGCGGGGGTCCGATTAAAGAAAATCAACAACCAGTAAAGGTCTGGAGACATTTTTAATTATAATCCTTTACTTTAAACAGCATTTAACACTGAAATAAAAGAGGTGTTTAAGCATCCATGTTATACATTGACTTTTTTAATTTAAAAAAAATATAGAAAAATATAAAATTTTTCCATTTTAAAATCTAAAGGGTTTTTTTTATGTAGAGAACAACAATCATTCAGTTTGGTATATAGACAATTTACTGATTCACATATTTTATAAAACACCTGAACTGGCCGTTTGTTTTGGGTTTTTTTCTTTTTTATGGCTTAATGAGAGCAGTGAGCTTTAGGCTGCCCTGCAAGGCTTTTAAACCTGGGTTTGTATGGAGACAAAGCCATTCTAAAGCACATATAAAAGTGGCATGCTGCTTTAAATGTGTTAATTGTGCTTTGGTGCTCGCTTTGTCTATAAAATGAACTAGGTGGTTGAATTTAGGACAATCTAAGCTTTCCAACAATGTCTAACATATCTATATTGGTAAACGTTTTACCGGTGTAATTTGCTGTAATGTAATGTAATAGCTTGGGGTTTTCAAGTGTTAAGGCATAATATTAGCATGAATTAATAGTTTTGTAAAAATATATGTAAAATGCTGTTTTTAAGAAAAGGCTCACAAAGTTTTAAAATATTCTACAGTATTTATTATTGTAAAAAAATTTATTGGACATTCATTTATGTCTTTTTTTACTCTTTCTGTCTTGCTCTTGTTTCATGAGTGTAAAAACCAGAATATATTGTCTTGGCTTTATAATGTGGAAAATATTTGACATAATCTCAGGTTTGCCATTGATCGGTTGGTCTGACACTTGTGGCATCTCTTCTATCAAATGTTCCAGCTGCTGAAAGCTGAGCATAGCTGTGTCCAGGCTTAAAGGTCTGTGCATTGTATGCTTTGGTTAGTTTCATTTAGTTTATGTGTGAATTCCTGCAAATGATTTTATTTTTCCACTCCTCAGACAAAGACCATATTATTTTATTTTATTGATCTTTTGTATCCAAAAAATGCAAAGTGAGGAACCACCAAGAAACCTAAACAAACTGTGCCAGAGCCAAACCCATGCACTTCAATTCACCTTCCATTCAGAACAACAGCCAGTATCTTAGCTGCTTCTATTTTTCTATTTGGTTATTTCTTTTAAAATAATGAAATCATTTCCAAGAATTTATTAGTTTAATGGTCACATTCATTCGTAATCAGGTAACTTAGAAGCTCTTGATATCCTTTCATTCCTTGGCTTAAATATCTTCAATTCAATTCAGTTTATTTCTATGGCACCAATTCACAACAGATCATACAGTCTAATTGATTCAAAGTTTTCTATCTAAGGAAAACCAGTTGATTGCATCGACTTATTGACTCGAAAGCAATCCCTCACACTAAGCATGCTTGTAGCAACAGTGGAGAGGAAAAACTCCCTTTTACCGGAAGAAACCTCCAACAGAACCAGGCTGCTTCTAATCGTCTAATCAGTTCTAAATTAAGTTTAATCCTATAAAATCTCTTGGTCTTTAATCTTACAATTTGTGATAGAGATTATTAGCACTGACAAAAAAACAACATTTGTTCTGCTGACTATTTTCTTGGTTGATTGGTGTTTGACTCTAGCACAGTTTAAAGGAATAGTACACCCAAAACATGATTAGCCTTCATTTTCTACTCACCCCCATGCTGAACAACACTCTGGAGTACTTTTTTGATATCTCAAATGCATCTGGAGATCTGGGAGGCTTCTTGCTGTCTGCTGACATTCAAATAATGGAGACCCGAGACAGAAAGGTCCATAAAAGTCCACAAAAAACGTGTCAATATTCCTCCATACTGCTTGTCCAATGTATTCCAAGTGTCCTGAGTGGGTAGCATCCAGAATTTACTCGAAACGAAGTCATTTAGAATGTTTTTAGAGCATAAACAGTAGTGTATAGGATTTCCTGAAAGCGCGCGCCCGCGCGTTCATGACGCTACGGAAGCTGGCAGACCAAACCAGATGAAAGTGCGCATTCAGCGTCTGCTCTGCCGATAATGCAAGCGTAGAAGAAGAAATGTGCTGTTTACCTGTGCAAAGAAAGAAACAACGAAAGAAAAATGTCTGAGGACTTCAGTGTTGAGGAAGAGCATGAGTTCTTTGCCGAGCTGAATGCGCACTTTCATCCGGTTTGGTCTGCCGCGGTTTCCGTAGCGTCGTGAACGTGCAGGCTCGCGCTTTCAGGAAATCCTATACACTACTATTTATGCTCTAAAAACATTCTAAAAGACTTCGTTTCGAGTAAATTCTGGATGCTACCCACTCAGGACACTTGGAATACATTGGACGAGCAGTATGGAGGAATATTGACACGTTTTTTGTGGACTTTTATGGACCTTTCTGTCTCGGGCACCGTAGACCTCCATTATTTGAATGTCAGCAGACAGCAAGAAGCCTCCCAGATCTCCAGATGCATTTGAGATATCAAAAAAGTACTCCAGAGTGTTGTTCAGCATGGGGGTGAGTAGAAAATGAAGGCTAATCATGTTTTGGGTGTACTATTCCTTTAAGGTCATAGAGGAGCTTACTTTCCTTAAATAATGATGCCCTGTATGTGGGCTTAACTCATGAGATTGATCACTGTACAGACTTTTTTATGTAGTTGATCTAGTTTATTACTGACCTGCATGCCTCCGGGGCTGATGATATCAAAGGCTGCAGTCATTTTTGTGGTAAACTGAATGACTTTGTTGAAGCTCTCATCTCCGATACTCCAGGAGCCGTCGATCAAATAGACCACGTCTGCTTTGGCACCTTTACACACTGTGACGAAGATGATATCCTGTTAAAACCTGATATCAAATAACAAGAAAAAAAATCCCACCCCAAATAATGAAGGCTTTTTTCTCACCATCTAATGCAGGCGGCACTGAAGCTGGAGGAGGAGGAGTAGGAGGCTCGGTCGGCACCTCGGTGGGTTTGACCACTGCAATGGCCAATCATTAGCAAAGAGCAGAGAATGTAATTTTAGGATAAGTAATTGAAAATTCAAGTTTTTAATCAAGATATTTTCATATATTAGGACAGAGCAGGTGGAGAAGACACTTTCTTACATGTTCTCTCCTTGACACTGACTCCAGGGCCCTCCAAGTTGGGTGTTTGCGTGTACACAGTTGCATTGTAAAGCGTGTCAGGGCTTAAACCATCGAAGCAGTAGTTGCTCTCTGAGCCTCGCACTGTCACTTCCTGAGCTCCTCTCTTAGAGACTACAGCAGAGGAAGGACAGAATGTTATTATCAGAGCTAAAAGAAAAGAAAGATATTAAACATCTTCAAAAATGATGAGATTTCTTACCATCAAATGGGTTCAGTTTTAGTCTGTAGGATGTTGCTGCTCTGTGAGGGGCCCAACGGATGCAGAAGGAATCATATCCAACATTGTAGGTAGACAAGTCGGTCACATTCAAATACACTAAGAGGAATCACGCAAGTATTAATGTGTCATTCTTTATCCAGTAATCAACCAACAACAAAAAAAACCCGGAAAACTGGATTTTTAAACCTACATGTGGTTCCTTGGCCAATCAGAGGTTCACTTAAACCTGTGTCATACTGTGCCAGCACCTTCAGGTCATAGGTGGTTCCAGGGGTTAGGTACTGTAGTTGATGGGAGGTTACATCTCCAACAAACGTTTCCATTGACTCGTCACTCCCTAAAATGAGACATCACTATAAAAATTAAGCCTCAAAGCAACAATTAGCTTCAAAGCATTAAAAGTTACACAGATTTATCCATAAAGAGCATATTTTCCCTATACTGAAATGCCAAAAATTTAGGCTGGGAGCTCCTTCTCACCCTCAGGCTGATAGATGATCTTGTATCCAGTAACCCTGGATGGAGCGGGGTCCCATGACACCTTGAAGCGTGTATACCACTCATCTGAAACACGGAGGTTTCTGGGGCCCAGCATTCCCACTGTAGGCAGCAAGATAGGGCAGCACATTTTACTGAGAGGCAGAGGATTCAAATTCCAAAGTATATAGGCGTATTATATTTCAGAAATGTAATTACTTTACTATAGATTTAAGGTTGTTATGACATTTGATGAGTGATGAGTGAAGCATTACAAAATGTTATGGTAAATTCTTCTGCATAAAAAAATAAAACAACAAATCAGCAATCATTATATTAATGATCTGCCAATTAGAGGGAATTATAAGTAATAATGTCCTGGCTGTTTAAGAAGAAAATTATCCAATAGAGCAGATATACATCTATTAAATATCTTTTACTGGAGCAGAGCCAGTTCATAAATCTCCCACAAAAGCTTCATTTTGCACTCTTGAAAGGTGGATTGGATCCAGCATATTGTATAATAGCACACATTTCATTCCCCTTCTTAAAAAAAGATCTGATGCCTGTGTGTTGTGGTCTGAAAACAGAAAGGAGTTTGAACCTGTGCGTCCAGTTCCCTCCAGTTCTCCTCCTGGTCCATCCATATATATGGCAGTCACTTTGATATTGTATGGTGTGTCTGGATCCAAGTTCTGCAGGACCACATTGTTTCTGTTGCCTGGAACAGTTATCTACAGCACATAAATTATAGACCAAAAAAAAACACTTTATTTATGACAACAGTATAACTTCCACACCAAAGGAAAGATGAATGTTTCGGTAAGATGCTCACATATTCCTCAATAGGGTCTCCTGTGGTCTGGGCGTAGGTTATGCGATACTGTGTGACCGGACCTAATGCGTGCTCCCAGCTAACAGAAAGAGTGGTGGTGGTTGGGTCGTACACACGCATGTTTCTTGGGCCACCTCTGGGCACTAGAGGAAAAATAATTAGCGGGGTCAGGGGTTTGAGTTTTACTGCTGGTGTTAACATTTTAAACAATAAAACATGATTTATTTATGTTTTTGCTTCAAAGGAGCTATATCTCCTGGAATTCTTTAAAGGGGTGTTAATCAATAGTTTAGAGGTTTTTTTAGCTAATGGTCAAAGAACTTTGAAGACGTTCATAAAACTAAAAGTCTATTTAAAGAACACAAGAGGACCTGGTTGCCTGGCAGGAAAAAAAAATACAGAAGGTTGAAAAAGAGGCTCCTTAAACTTTCTGTGCACTGAAACATTGAAATGTAGCCCATAATCACAGGTACTTACAAGTTTTTCCAGCATCACTAATAGCAGGCCCCTCTCCGTCACTGTACAGGGCAACGACTCCAACATTATAGCCAGTATCTGGGAGCAGCTGTGTTAGCAGAGCTGTGGTGGTACTGGCTGGTACCAAAATCTGATAAAAGAAGACAAAAAAACTTTTCATGTATTTTATGTATTGTCTGTATTTTTATTCCTCTCTCTTTTTTTTATTTCAGGCTCCAATTCATGATGTATACAAACAATATTTGTGTTTTTGTCTTATTTCCTCACTGTATGGAAAGAAAGATTACAGAGCAGGATTACTGTCTGTAGTTCCAAAAAAGTAAAAAACAAAAACAAAAAAAACAATTATCTGGACTGGTTTCCAAGTTTGAAGATGTTTCGCTTCCCACCCAATTCAAAATCAAAACATATTCAAACTCGGAAACCAGTCCAGTTAATTGATTTTTAACTTTCATGATGACTATGACCTGGATGACTGAGAATCTTCACCAGCATACTGTCTGGATTGTTTCTCTGTGCGGGTCCTGGTAGATATTAGTTATCTGTTAACGATAAATCAACCTTTTATTTATGTTTTAACAAGTAACAAGTAAAATTCTCCACTGTAAGAATTTCAATATAACAAGTCAAATATATCTAGGTTCTTAGTATAGCAAGAATCCAATATAAAAAGTACATTTCTCCACTGTGAGATCAATAAAGTCTATCAATTAATCAATCAATAAAATTAGTCAGTGACCAGTTCTGCTCATGAGATACATATTGTATGAAAAAATGTCTGTCTGTTAAAAGGAGAAGAAAAAGGAAACCTCTTTGAATGTCTAAGGGGAAAAAAACTGGATGGAAGTTTTTTCTTTTGTTTTATTTATTTTTTTCTTTAAATGAAGTGAGCTTAATATTTTTGGTAGTTTTTTAGAAATAAAACAAATGTTCCGTTCTAAATCCTAATTTAAACAAACCTTCACCATAGGTAAACCTAGAGGTCCGTGAGGAGCATTGTAGATAAATCTCTTTTATGGGGGATTCAGGAAGATTTAATGGCACCAACAGCAAAGAGGCTCCTTGCATTGCAGACCTTTTTCTAATTAAGTTTTATTTTATTCTAACAATAATTCAATAAATCCTACGGTCAGTATTTAAATACTTTACCTTTTTTTTTATTTACATAAAACTTTCTGGTAAATGCTTTTCAGCTTTAATGAAGTGATGTTCCTGTTTAGGATTATTTCGAACTAATGTCTTAATGTGAATATATTCCCCTGAAGTCAGATAAAACTTCTTGCATTGAAACGGTCTGTATCTAGAGCACATAATAGGAGCTGCTAGGTTCTGCAAAGCAATGGCGTACAATTTAACAAATGACCTTGCTTTGTGAATTTTCCCCTCAGAGTAACATTTGTGAACATTAATCCACATCATTGAATGTGTAACGCGATGCAACTCTCCTACCGACCTGAAGACATCAACCTTTTACTTACTTTTCGAATGATGCTTTCCCTGTTGTGTGTGTTTAAAGGCATAGAGGACGATCTTTTATTTCTGGGTGGATCATCCAAATAAGTGGTCCTCCTAATTGTCAATCATTCTGGTGATATGTTTATGTAAGGCCGTCCTATGTGCTCGTCCCATTAGCTATCTTTTTCTGCATATGCACACTTTCAGGCATATATCTGTGGTGATCTACGGTTTCAGACAGTCATTGAAGCTCACCTTTCTCACCGCGGTTCCTTAAAAATGGCCGAGGGTTGTAAGAGAAAAAGTGTCTACGAAGTGTATGAGAAGAAAAGAAAGGCCTCAGAAGAGCCAGATATATCCTGGAATGCATTGCGCAGAGAGCTTTCCTCGCTAAGCATTATGGGATTTGCCAAGACAGCGGAACACTGTCGCTATAGGGTGTTGCTACCCGACAGCGGCGACTAATAACAAAGATGGTGCAGGCACCGCGCAGTGGAGCAGGAGTTACGTGACAAACGGAGCTAAAAGAAGTGATCATCTGTCCAAATAGTCAGTTAACTGAGTTCACTATGAAGTCCACCATATAGTCCCCAATCTATTGAGGGATTTAGGGGTTAAGGCGGACCTTCGGGCACAGTAAGCTTGTATGAGCTATGAGAGCAGCAACTTTTAAACAGAGCATGCATGAGGACAAAATAGGGGTTAATGCATGCTCTTGCACGCGTTTAATAGGCGTTCCCTCTTGGGAGCGTGTACAGGGTTGTACATGTGCATTTTTCTTAAAAGTGGAGAGGGCGGGTCTTTTCAAAAATTCACGAAAGTCCTCCACAATCGCTTTAATCGGAAATTCACACATCTCTTTAATGTTCTGAGATGTGGTGACATAACTAGGGCCTTTCTGCAAGTTGTATATTTATCTAACCCAGCCTGACAGTTACTGTTAACAAGAGGGCGCCTATCTCTGTTTGAGTTAATTATCAAAACAGAACATGACCAGAGCTTCTCAGGGGCTATGGCCTGCTGATAACCTCTCCAAAGGAGTCACAGAAGTGGAAGGTTTGGCTTTACTTTAGGACTTATATGCTGCATGTAACTATCAATGGGGATTTTGGTGTTAAACAAAACCTGCATTAGTGGTTAACCAATGTCTTTTCTGTCTCTGCAGTTTAAATTTTCTTAATTTTTTCTTTAATTTTGGTTGTACTGCGTTTCGTTTTCAGCCATATTTTCTGGTGTGAAGTCTGGAAGCAGAAATGTAAAAAGAGCGCTCTGACTGGCACCAGAAACGCTGATTATTCATGCTATAAATCTCCAGCTGGTCTTCAGCTTGATGATCTTGAGAAATGAAAGGCCACATTGCCACTGATGGAAATCAGCAGCACTGGCCATGTGAAATAGCATTACATCACATGAATGTGCTAATATCAAAAAAACAATTCCCATTTGCATATCAATGCTTTTCATATGATTAAATTAAAGATTTAGAATGTAAATAATGAAGAATGTTAAAAAACCTTATATTGAAAACTGGTGCATCGGTTTGGATGTAAAAACTTTTATAGATGTGATGGCATATGGCACATTTTATGAAGAAAGCAGGAGCTCCAATTAAAGAACTTCTGGGTAGAGAACAGGTTTCATTTTAAGACTTTGGTAGCCAGACTCAGAGAAAAAGAATCAGCTGGCAGTAATTACACACATTCATGAACAATTCTCACATTTGTTTGATAAACAGACCGACTTCATTTAAAAGCATGATTTAACATATGGTGTGCTGCAAATTTTCTTATAAAGCCCACATCTGCCCAATAACATTACATAACGGTATTGCCCTAAAGGACAGGATATCTTATGGGTACATTGCAAGAAGGAAAAGAAAAGTTTGCTGAATGTACAGTGGAAACTCACCGACTCAGCAGGCCTGGCACCAGTGAGAGGAGAATAAACCACCCTGTACTGTTCGACTGGCCCTGTGGCTGCCTCCCATTGAACATTCAAAGTGTTGGTTGTGGGGTTGAAGACTCTAATATTCCTGACGGGGCTCCGCTCCACTGCCGAACCAAAACGTTGGATTAAAACATGGTGGTTTGAGGTAGAGACAGAAACAAAAATAGCAAATGTAAGGTAAGGAAATAAAAATCTTTTTTCCATACAGCCTCTAATGCCTCCTTTGTGAATCTTCTTTCCAGTATTAAAACATTTCATCTGATGTTTTCTTTTATTACAAGTTCCTCTACAGTTTTATGGATAACAAGAGGAAGATTATTCCGTTATTTTAATAAAATAAGAACTATCCCACCAGGCAAGCTAAAGAGGTATGTTGGAAACTTTATTTAACAACACCCTATCAATGGGACACTTCCTGTTGGTGCCCTAAAGGTTAATGAAAAGTGCAGCTCTGTGTGAAGCCTCCCTTCCTTAAATCCAAAGCAGATGTTATGTGGTCTCTTCTCTGCAATACATCCACTAATAACCGCATAAATTCAGGGGAAAAGACAGTAGACAGAACAAAGACAAAGATCTTCTATTTCCATTTCACCAAGCTGATTTGAATCATGGAACAAAATGCCCCCTAAATGGAGAGGAAGATCGAGGCAGACAGGATTTTGGCCAAAGAGCTAAATAAAATAAAAAGAATATCAACAGCCCATAACTTTAGCAATAACAGCTAACTCCTGACAAAGGCAGTATTCTGATGAAACTATCTCTATAATGGGTAATTAGTCCTTTGAATGGAAGTCAAGTTTACATAAAAAATTAACACATTTCTTTTAAAGATTTGCCAACTTGTGAACAACATGAAGACAATAAGAAACTTAATAAGGTAAGGACAGGTTGTTTAGCAAGCTGCTGTTGGAGCATAAGAGTGAACAGTAGTTTATCTACAATTTATGTTTTTGAGAGAAACTTGGTCCCAGCATGCAAAAAACATCTGCTTTCACCAAATCTAAAGACCTTAAGCCATTCACAATAATAAGATAAAAATCTCATTAAAGACTATCACAAACCAAATTTGACCTCATTGAGACAACTGGAGTGTGTGTAATTCAGTACGGGTATTTTTATATATTTAGATGTTAGATGGACTTAAATGCTAAATATAAACTGGATCTGTTGGTCTTAAAGAGTGCTTTGATACATCTTGGGAATAGAAGATGAAAGCTGTATTAAACATAAACTAACAGTTTAGACTTTTTAACTACATTTGCTTTTATTTTTTCAACGACTCCTGGCTCTACTGAGGTCAAAGAAACCATTTTTCCTGGGATTCTAAAACCATTATGATAATAAAACTATTACATTGGTATCTTTTAAATATTTTTATCCATATAAATGTGTATATTTGTATATATAAATGAATGTGAATCTGAATTTTATGATAAAAAAACAAAGCTGATTCTTTTACCTGACAGCAATATTGGCCGTTAGACACCTTTAAATGTAATAATACCCTGATTCACTGAGAGTTATTAGAACTAAAGTGACAGAGTAAATAATATTGCAAGGCAGGATTTGGAGACTAAGATGGTATACTGTATGTTTTTTGCTATTTTTTTTTATCCGATGTGTAGTGATTTTATGTAAACTTCTGTAAGCTGCTTTGTTTTGTCTTTTTCTAGATATATGCCATTGTGTCTCAATGATCTTAACCCAGTTCAATTAGGCACAGGAGAAATTTACTCAACTATAATTCATATAGATCTGTAGTGATTGAAATTGGTAAACTTTGTGGTTGAACTGCATGAGAAATTGGAAAATTCAATTTTCTTAATCAAAGTTTAAACCAAGCAGAACCCTCATTTTCTTGGTCCCTATGTTCTACTTAACATTGGAATGAGGACGTATTAAATGCATGAAATGCTTCATAACGTCACCATTTTGCTTTAGTGGGGGAGTGGCAGCCTAGTGGTTACGGCATAGAGCTTTGAATCCTGGGTTCTGGGTTCAAGCCCCACTCCCACAGACTGCCACTCTGAATCCCTGAGCAAGATCCTTAACCCCACACTGCGCCCCATGATGGCAGCCCACTGCTCCCCAAGGGGATGCGTGAAATGCAGAGGTAAATTTCTCTTGAGATTATTTAGCTGTGACGTGACCTGCTTGGTTTCTTTGTTAGCTTTTGTGTCGCTAATGTTCTCTTAACTTTTTAAGAAAAGAAAACAGATTTGACTTGGTAAAATTAATACATTTGTATATTGGAATGTTTATTGGATTCTTCAGTTAAAAAACGCGTACTGTTACGAATACATGCGTTGCAATCCAAAAAAATAAAGATACTCCAGATGTTAGTGGATCATTGGATTCAGGCTTCTATAATTTCCATGTTCTGAATGATATCATCTTTAGCTGCACTTTTTTGATATAGAGACCACAAATTAAAATGGGCTATTGCTATAGTAGGAGAAAAGGAGGGGGAAGTGACATCCATGGACCATGACCCAGGCCAAGTAAACTGAGTAACATAAAATATATATTACCATCTTTTCTTTTTTTCCCTTGTTAGTTTTTCCACCACACACTCAACACATCCTTCCCCTGTTCTTAGGCCCTCCCATTATCCTGACCACTATCCTTTCTTCCAGCCTATAAATTATCATTATTACGTTAAAGGCAGAGGAGACCCCTTTAAAACCCTGCCAGGCCAGAGGAATGCTTTCCTACGCAATAATCCCACATAATGCTGAGTCACTCCCAGCATAACTTGGTGGTTGAACTGTAGGAGAAAGTGGAAAATCTCTGTTCTTACTTAAAGCTCAAATTAAGCAGGACCCTTTTATTTTCTGCTATTCCATACGTTATGCTAAACATGTAGAATGTAGTTAATGTGTTTTCATTATAGTCCCAAGAAGGCAATTCAATTTGACTGGGATGGTTTGGCTGGGATGGATTTGGGTGATGAAAGTAGTTAAAGTTGGCTGCGTTGTTGGAGAATCTGGACATTTTTGACAAGCGGGCCAGAAACTAAGGGCAGTAAGTTCGTTCTGGACAGACATGAATGGATTCCTGATTCAGGAATACAATCCCACTGGCATTATGCAAGCCTTTACAAAGCCTGACCTCTGTCTTTAACGGAATTACCATTTCTATTTCATGCATCTGCACAGATCAGCGATATAATTTATACTCTCTCTGCATGTAAAACTCACATGTTTTGCCATTCTCAGACGAACGGAGTCCTTCTCCGGAGGCATAGATTGGAACCACACTCACAGTGTAGAGCGTATCAGAATCCAGATTCCTTAGAACAGTGTTGTAGGTGCTTCCTGGCACCTGGACCTATAGACAACCACAACGAATGACATGTTAAGCCTCGGACTGTGGATCAAATGTTGCTTCTGAACACATGGTCCCATTTGACCCCTTCTTACCATCTCTTCCTCTAATCCAGCTGTAGGGACGTAGTAGATCCGGTACTCACGCACTTTTCCTTCAGCAGGCTCCCACAGGACATTCAGTGTGGAGGTGGTGGGGTCAGTTACTCGTAAGTTTCTAACACCACCCAAAGGCTCTGGCATAAAATAAGAAATGTTAATTAGAACTGTAGAAACACCTTCTTCATTAGCTAATTTATTATAAACGACTTACTGGTCTTTCCAAGCCCCTTTAGCTCCCTGCTGACTCCATTGGGGTAAACTGCAACCACGCCAATTTGGTACTCCGTGTCAGGTGTCAGCTTGGGTAGGAGGACATTGGTCTTTTTGGCTACAACCTGTGTGTAGTTGGGAGAAAGTGGATGAAAAATAATTCATTTAATATTTTATTATATAATTATTCGTTCTCCACAACTTTATCCCTGACCTCACTGGTGATTTTTCTTAGTATTCCTGATACTGCTTGGTTGTTAAAATTCTCTACTACATAAGCAAGAAACACAAATTTCACTTAGTAAAATGCAGGTTTTTGCATATCAGAAATCACCATAGCTTTTTTAATGTTAATTGTATTCTTTAGGTAATATAAACTTAGAACAACTAATTGAAGAAAACAGCCATGGTGTGATGACATTTTCCATCACTGTACTTTATTTTCAGTTCTCTTGTGCGAGAATTAAGATTTATGTTGAATGCAACTTCTCTCATGACATTGTTAGCGAAACCCTGTTAATAAACTCATGTATGCCCCTACAATACGTTTGCTCTCAGTAACATCTGTGCATATGTCATTTTTACAATGCCGATGTGCACATTAGTATTATTGCAAAAGACTTGAATATTATATACTATATTAAGTAGGTCTATGTATGTGTCCTTATTGTCATGAAATTATAATTTAAAATCAAAGATATTCTGAATGTGTGTTGTTTTTATTGCAGTTTTTTTAGTGGAGTACCCAAAACTGAAAAAATGATAGTTTTAAAAATAATAAAGCTTTTACTAAATGCTAAAAGCAATATATGAAACAGGATTTAGTCTTTTACTTTGGTTCACAGTAAATAAAAAAAAACTACTTCTTTTAAAATTTTACTACAGAGCGTTCTATTTCACATATGGTCCCATATTCAGATTTTGTATGTGTTTAGGGATATAATATACTAGGTACTGCTGTCATTGATACTTTTATTGTTAAACCCCTAATATTTGGAATTTCTCATCGATGTGTATTTAGAAATAGTTGTGTTTCCCCACTTTTTCCATATTTGAACAATAACTGTACCTTGCTCTACATGCAGGAGTTGAGCTCAGTCTCTTCATTGTTTCAGCAGCTTTAATGCGGAAAATAAACGTCAAAATGTGTGACTTCAGGATATTTGTTCTCCGTCATGACTACTGCCAGCATTTTTTTTTGTGCTACATGAAAATTAGCCCCTTATTCTTTCTTTTCCAACTTTGACTTCCCCCTATGGCGGTTAGGAAAAATCCACAGAAAAGCCGCACCTTCTTATAAACTGCATGGTTTAAAGAATGTGGAAAAAGAAGCAGCTTATAGTCTGGGAAATACGGTAGTTATCATTAAGGCAGGGGTCTTTAACGTTCTCCAGGCCAAGGACCCCCAAACTGATGGCAAGATGGAGCAGGGATCCCATAATTACATATAGTGTATGGAATTGTGTTATATCAAACTGGTCCTATAGTTACTCAATTACATATGGAGTAATGTAATGAAAATAATTTCTCCCTGGGATTATTAAAGTATTTCTGATTCTGATTCCTCATTGATGGGACAGGTGTTGTGGATGAAATGGTGCCCAGCTTGAAAAAGCTCCTGTGTGTCGCTGAATGTGTGCATTGATGACTGAAAGACATCTTCTGCCTCCATTTATCTGTTTACTACAGTGTGTTGAATTCATGTGTATTTAAAGACATTTTAATTAGTGGAAAAAATTGCAGGGGGGGAATATTAAAAAAAAAGTTTAATCAACCAAAACTTTTGCGACCCCCATGCAGTACCTCTGTGGACCCCCTATGGGTCGGGGACCCCCTGTTGAAGACCTCTGATGTAAGATATTACACATTTACTGTAGTTTTGGGCAGAATGTAAGGACTTCTTGCCTCTTTAAAATAAAGGCTTTGAAGATCTGATGTGTCTTGGGGAAAATATATTCCATCTGATTTTAATACAAATAAAATGTGGCTATGGGTCCCTTAATTTAATTTGCTGGTGGAACATTTGCAGGTTAGGGCCTTTACCTGTGAACACTTGGCTGTGAGCATTTGTGGACATAAATAGTGATCTTGCCAAGGAAAATATCTGCACTGATGCTTGAAACAGATGTTTTTGTTAAGACTGGAGATATATTTACTGTACAGCTTTCGCCTTACAGTCAGAAAAAATCAGTCACTTCTGAAGACATGAAAACATAGCTCAAGTGCTCACTTGTATACACTTACATCTTGTCTGGTTTTTTGTCATCACGGCAACAGCTGGAGAGCTTTCACAACCCCTTTAACTGAGTTGCTTAATCTTTTATCAGCAGCAGTAAAAACAGATGGTCAAAGGGTTTATTATTTTGGATCTGTGTCAATTTTCCTGAGCATCAACTCAGGATTTGATTCATTTCCTGAAAAACATTTTTGTACTAGATGAAAATTGTTTGAAACTCTTTGGGAATGCTTCAAATACTGAAACGCAGACAGTGGAACAGATAAAGCCAAGTGCAACAACCTTTAAATATTTATCAGCCTCCAAAAAGGAATTAAAGAACTTGTTTCAATACATTTCTTTTTGTTCTAAACAGCAAATACTGATTTTTCCATCTGTACGAGGGTAAAGTGCCTAATGCCACATTTCATTTCAAACATAAAATTATAAAATTGTAATTTTTGTGAAGAATAAACAACAAGTGGGACACAATCATTAAAGGGAATGAAATGTATAGGATATTTTCTATCCAAAGCTGGCTTTAATTCTTCTCAGCAGTATTTCAGACCCGTCTAGTGTGTTCCATGTTCTTTATGATGCTTTTTGCGCTTTAAACAGACCTCTGTTCATCTTCAATGATTTATGGCACATTGGATCATTCAGAGATCCTCACTGAACTTCTGGAGAGAGTTTGCTGCACTGAAAGTAAGGGGGCAGATTAATTTTGCACTCTTCTGTTTTTTATTTGTTAAAAAGTTTAAAATTTCCATTTAATTTAGTTCAGCCTCATGATTGTGTCCCACTTGTTAATTCTTCCCTGAAATGTGGCTAAAGGTTGAAAAGTTCAACAGATCTGAATACTGAATGCAAGCCATTGTAAATGTTTATTGGATCAGTGTAGACGGAGCAGAGAGAAATAAACTGAATAGATCGGTGAATTTAATGTCTCATAACCAGAACAAACAGTCATGGTGAAAATAATATCACACAATAGGAGAAGTACGACAGAATGGGAGCCATTCAGAATCCAACAGTTTGCAAAAAAACTGGCAGAGTAAAGAAAAGAAAGCAGAGTATAGTATAGTTGGTCATTTGGGCTTCATTATCAAAAATAAGACACAGTCACCTTTTAGTTTTTAAATCAGCCATGACTTGTAAAAAAAAAAATGTAAAATATGTTAGAGTCAACCAGCTGAATGAATACTGAAGGCTAGGATGACACTGGTTATTAAACAGAATAGAAACTTAGATAAACCTTTATAAGGAAAAACAATAACTTTGGGAATGACTTAATCAATTCTCATGCCCCAGTTAAAGATTTACATATTTTAGTGCTCAATGAGGAACTTAAGCAAAAAAATAAAATAAAATTACTGTTACTGCTGTTATTTTCCTTTAATAATTTGGCATATCTGCAACATATTTTACTACGGCAGGAAAGAAACTATGCAAAGTAATAATATAATTAACGATAATAATAACAATATTCAATCAATAGCGCCAGAAGGCAGGAGGCATTCCAATGACCATGGCAACATGATTGTTTAAAGTGACTTCAACTGAAACACTTTGACCTATTTCCTCCTATATGCAGCACATCATTATTTATCAACTTGGTTCAGTCATAAACTCTGGATTGTTTGATGGTGAGTTTATGAGGCCAGAGCCAATGAGTACAACTTCCTCACAGATTTGGAAGAGTTATTACATTTGATGCATTTCCTCATGCAACGGGTAAAGAGCCCATGTCCACCATATTAAAAACAAAGACCTAAACCACTACATTACAGACGGACTTCATATTGTGTAATACGGAAAATAATAAAAGAAGACAGTGATGTCATAGTGACAGTTAAACATCACATAACCACCCTCTATATAAAAACGAGGCACACATTACATATGTTTTCGATATGGTAAATTCTGTGCAGTTATTTAGTTTTATCCAAAGTTTTTTTCTTTCTTTTTTTTTTTTACCAAAGATATACTGTATAATTCAGATAAGGACTGTATTTTCCAGCAGGACATTTTTTAAAGGGCCTGCATCATGATAAATAAACTTATTGGAGCTTTTACTATGTTATGATACTGTTTCTTCATAAAAATCATGCCAAAAGTGCCATTTCCTTTCATTCATGCATGAGTAATTTACCTGAATAAATTCTGCTTTCTGAGCAGCTGCCCCTTCCTGTGCTAAAATAACAAGCAACCTTGATATATCTACATAGAATGGTTTTCCCCGCCCACCTCAAGAAGCACCTACCTTGACTCCGCTGTGCCTACACAAAAAAAAAAGCTCTAAGTTGTAAATATGTTTTGTTTTGGTTGAAAGGTCTATGACTTTATTAAACCTTCCTAAACAGTATCCTAACCACCAGAAGTAGAATGATACAACATCATGAAATGCATGGCACACTGGAGAGGTGACCTCTCTTTGAAGGCAATTATCTTTCTTCCAGGTTGGAAGAAAATAACTAATATTTCATAACACATAAATATCCATTAGTGCCAAAGGTATTATTTTATCATAAATATACCTATAATTGACTTAACAGCTTAAAACGGCATGATTTAGCACCTTTTAACTCTGTATCTTTCTGATTAAAATCTCTAATTAAATGCAAGTCAAGTAGTGAGGAAGAGACATTTTAGTCAAAGCTTGGCAGAACGTTTGGCTGTAGACTTAAGTTTCCTTCACTTCTAATTTCTACAGCCGTGAATTTGTAAAGTTGTGTCTCTTTTTATGAGGTCTTGCTTTGGAAAGTTGTAACAAACATTTACTTTTGGCAAAGGAGCCAAAAAACGACAAAATCGAGAGTTGTATGATAAAATAAAAGAGGTCTGAAATTTACTAAACCACATAATAGATATCTTAAGTAGGAGTTCATTGTTTTGCAGCCATATCATGGCCATACCTGCAGTTTTTAAAGCAACCCTTCAACCTCACTTTTTAAACATGCCCGGTAGAGAATAGATAATTGTATCAGGACTTACAGTCTGAATCCTGCCTCCAGCCACGGGGACGTAAGTAACCCTGTAGTTCGTGACGCGGCCTGTAGGTGCAGTCCATCTGGCGTTCAGAGTGGTGGTGGTTTCATTGTACACAACTAAGTTGGTTGGAGGTGCTCTCGGCACTGAAACGCATACAAGCACCCACATGTTTCATAGTTAGGGTCACATCAGCACCTGTTACAAATACAAGTGTCTCCCAGTGAATTACAATATCATTGAAGACAATTCATCTCAAAAAGTGGAACTTGAATTGATTATTCTTTACACACAAAGGGAAAATGGCTCCAGGGGTTATTTCTGTGAATTTTGATAACTATGGCTTAAAGTAAACATCAGAACAATAGCTTTTCAGAAATTGACAACCGAAGAGGAAGTCAATACAGGAATGCTGACTGCAATTAAATCGACCTATAGCTAAACTAAGGTTCTGAGCAAGCCCAGGCTGCTTTACTCTTGGTATCTGATTTTCCAACTGAACTTTAAAAAATGCTTTTAATGTCCCTGTGAGACTAGGTACGAAGCCTTTGCTATTGTCCCTGGTTCTGCAAGGGCTCGACGGTTGATTGCATCTGTTTTAGGTCATGTCATGGATACCTTTGTGTGTGGTAGGTCTGCAAACACTAACAGTTAAAGCCTTTGGAGGCTTCCATAAACATTTGAATGGGCTTTGCTTCTATATCCCCTGAAGGCTATAGTTATCCCTATTACTTGTGCACCTTTTCATTCCGCTAAACCTTGTTTTACATATAGCACCTTGTAAAAAGACAGCTTCCATAGCAATTTTGGTTTGCCATCCAGAAATAAACTCCTTTCATATATCCCTCTGTGTGCAGCAACTGTATAAAGTATATGACTTCCACATTTTGAGCTAAATTGATGGAATAGATTAAAATTTTCAATGATATTTTAATTGATTGAAATGCACATGTAATCAGAGCATTTGTAATATAGATGGAATTAAAATATCTTTTAAAGTCACAGTCCTTGATTGTGTTTTCAGGTCATGTAATATCATTTTTTGTAATAATTTGTTATGAAATCTTTAATTTGGTAAAATAAGATTGAGCAATTCCGAAGTAGCTTGTATTTAAGTAGGACTGCAGCTTTAAAGAGGAAAAGACACTCCTAAAGAATTTGTCTTTTCTGAAGGTGGGATGAAATCTCTTGAATGATGATTATGATGATGATGATGATGAGGAAGATGATGACAGATGGACTCAAAATGCAATTAATACATGGAGTGATGATTGGATGGATGAATAGATAGATGAAAAGAGAAAGAGGGATGAAATGGTCTTCAAAAAAAATGGTCAAAATCTGGTTCTTGCCAGACATGCATGGTGAAAATCCATCTTCAGCCATTCAAATCAGACAAAATCATGGGACTGAAGCTTGGACTTTTGGCAAAACACATAGACAGACAAAAAAATGGCTGGAGCAGTTGATGGGTTATGGTCTGATCTTGATGATGAAATGAAAGTAGTCCAATGAAATGGTTCTGATGACCAAATGATGTAAAAAAAGCAACAAAAAAAACATGCTTTTACTTGAAGACAAAGCATCCCTTTGCTTCACCGCAATATACTTACTTGGTTTACCATTCTTGGCCACTATAGAAGCAGAAATAGAAAGGCAAAAGGGCTTTTTTTATAGGCTCATTTCTAGATGACTATGTAAAAACTTACATACTGTATTTCACTAACCTTTGATCAAGGTCCAAAACAGACATTTAGAGGAATAATAACTGAAATATTGCAGGCAATATTTTATCCCATGGTTAATGAGTTAGATATCTTACATGTCCTCTCAGTGCCCATGAGATCCTCGCTCTCTGACTCGTCTGGGTATATCGCAGTTACGTGCACATCGTACGGTGTGTCTGGCTCCAAGTCCTCCATGACGAAAGTCGTCTCATCGTTGTTTAGAATGGACTGATCAGAAAAACAATCAAAGTCTGAATTAATAGACAAAAATCCAAAATCAATGGATAAAAAAAAAAAACTTATTTGACCAATTTATTACATCTTCAAAGTTGTTTTCTCCTTTCTTAGACCAGGCAATGCGGTAGAGAGCCACGTCAGGGGCTCCATGCTCCCAGGTTGCTCTAAAGCTTGTCTGGGTAATTTCTGAGAACTCAAGGTTCTTTGGTGCTGGAACCACATCTTGAAGGAGAAAATGGTACCATTATGTTACATTGGAGAAATGTGCTATGGAAGGTTCTCAGTAACACTCTGGTTCTTATTTGTACCTGTGATAGCAGATGCTGTCATCGACTGCCCAGGTCCGATGTCATAAATTGGAATGACGGTTAAGGCGTATTCAGTCTGTGAAATCAGATTCTCCAGTTGTGTTTCAGTCACTCTTCCTCCAACCTCAAGCTGTCGAAAAACACAAAATGGAGATAGTTAATAAAAAATGGAATTTAAATATATAAAAGCATCTTTAAAAGGTTGATTTATTCAAGCTACAAAAAGTTAAACATGATATTATATGGATTTATTCTGCACAGGGATCACTTTCAATAATAATTAAATAACATTTCAAACCAATTAAAAGTTATGCCATGTAAGGCATTAAACTTATTTAAGATTCTAGCTTTTCTCAAAGAGTTCTGTCTGAGGAAAAAGTGAGTAAATTGGTTTAAATAAAGTGCACACAAGATTGATGAGTTTGGGAAAAGTATGGATACCTGGTTCAATATTATGGCATCACCACAATTGACCATACAGCAGCCTGACCAAAGCCCCATTGAAAAACCAGGAGAGCAAGAGAAGGGGTGCAATCGTGCAATTAATCTGAGGTTCATTACAGCAGCAAAATGGGCTTCTTCATCACTGCACCACAGGCTGTGTATGGAGTACATCTCACAAATGTTCTATATTAAATATCTATTGTTACATTCAAATTTTCTGAGAAGAAAAATTATCGGTTTTCATGGGCTGCAAGCTATAACCATAATCATTTAAAACATTTTCTAAAAACTGATTTCTACTTCTCAAATTGAATTATTGAAATAAAATAAATTCATTGTGTTTTCGTATTTTTGGTGCATTTTAATTGTCACACTACAAGAATAAAAAAAAATATATATATATATATATATATATATATATATATATATTTATAAAATGTATGTTTTTCTTAAAATAAGTGTATTTTATCTCGTATTGCCAATGGAAAAAGACTTACCATAGGATCATAGATCATTTTTGCAGTGCATAAATTGAAGGAGAAATATTTCAGGTGTTAGAAAACAATTGAAAAAGATAGGACATTTTAAAAAATAATTTCATCTATAAAGTACGTTTTATAAAAACCACTGCATGAAAAGTGGGATTTTCGTCAATATACGGCACTGTAGATTGTCGTGGAACTTCAGGTTAGCGGCAGTTTACGGCAATTTGCAGGCTTCGTCGAAAACTCCCGTAAATTGTCAGAAATTGACGTGGAATTTCTTAGGCAGTGTTCCCCCCATGCCTCCCCCCCATGGAATTCTAGGGGAGGCTTTAACATGTAAATGAACATGCTGTGAGCAATACAAATGCAAACCAGGGTTGCAGGGGGGGTTTTACCCCAAGTGACATCTTTCTGAGGAAGAAAATCTCTGATACAAAGAGATCAGGCTTAGTATAGCCTCTCACATTTTAGCTTGAATTGATTTATTTAATTAAAGTATAGAGACCAAAACAGATCTTTAGCCGACAGAGCAATACATTTAGAGCAGTAATTATTTTTAAAAAAATTTGCATTTAAGATAAAAAATAAAATGTTTTCTGTCAATATGCTCAATTCACAATTACTTAAGTGGAAAAGTTTCAAGAAATGAGTCTGAGATGATTCACTTTATAACATGGCGCATTATCCTGTTGGAAGTAGCCATCAGAAGATTGGTACACTGTGGTCATAAGGTCCGGCCAGGTCAAGATCCGCAATTGCAATTGCACCAAACAGGAAAAAGAACATCGACAAATTCCGGTTCGTCAAATTAAAATATAGCAGCAACAGATCGGTGACTAGAAATTATAGCACAATTCTTATATATATATATATAAAAAAAAAAAAAAACTAACACCGTTTATTTAAATGATTGGATCCAAACTATTGGTTATTCACCAACGAGGAAGCAGATTTCTCATCTCCATCAAAATATTTATTTTATACCGAGGGACTTAAACTTTAATGAAATCCATTCAAAAGAAACTTCTTATTACAGGAATGAAAAGAGATGCTGAGTTTGGAAGTAGTGAACAAGTTCATTAAAAAAAAAGCAGTTTTGAATTATCCTTATCCCCGTTACAAAAATCTACAAAAATATATATATATATTTGGGCAGAAACTGAACATATGCTGGATGGTGGTGGGATTTTTTTAATATGTCATATTAAATTAAGCGCTCACAGGGTTCATACAGGAATGAGTGACTCTAATTTAATGCTATTTAAATGCTATTAGAAATGATTTTAATGCCATCATCAAGAACCGTGAACACAAGTTATTAGTGTACACATGAAATATGAAGGAGCTGCAAGCAGAGTTCCATGACTCCTGTATGTATGTAAACACACACACACACATATACGTATATATATATCCTCTAGCTTTTTCTCCGCCTGGAGAATATATCTGACGAAATTGTTTTTATAAGCATTTTTTATTAAAGAATTATAAATACTTCGATAAACATATTTAAATAATTTTAGTGCCAATTAAGGCCTTGATTAAAAAAAAAAAAAAAAAGAATGATTTTTTAATTATTTTTATTGATCCGCGGAAACTCTGGTTCTATTTCATCCCTACTGACCGCCAGAGGCGGTGCTTAAAGCACGAATGATCACTCTTGCGCATGCACAGGTCGAGAATCTTATACGAACATAGTCACGTGTGACCCCCGGTGACACCGGTGTGCCTATATAGTCACGTGACAGCGACAGCTCAGTCCCTTTTTCATCTTCTCGCATGCGGGTTGAACAGGTGGTACGACACTGATTGCTTGTCGCTGGTAGCCTCGAGACTTTGGTCGGAGCTGCGAGGCTCATCTCGCCCTCCAGAGGCTGCGCAAGCTTTTCATTATTTACAGCTTGGTTTCTTCGTCTGGTAAGTTTTTTTCTCTTATCGACGGCGAACGGGGACGCGTTCTCACCGTGACTCCCTGTTGCTGGTGCCTCGGCGTTAGCCGACTCCGACCAGCTTGTTTGTTCACTTTGGCAGCCGCTTCCGGGCTTGCTTTTGTTACCGTAGCAGCCGTTTTCGGGCTTGCTTTTACTTTGCTAACGTGCTTGGCTAGTTCTCTTGTGGCCTTGCTGCTGGGGAACCCCTGGTGGCGTTCTCTGCTCGACCGGGTCTCCCGATCTGTCCGCTCGGTGAGTGTCAAGAGTGGCGAATTCGGCTCGACCTGACCTAGCCCTGTGAGCGTGACATGTTGGACGCGCCGTGCTGTAGAGCTTGTTTGGCCCCTCTCCAGCTGGAGGATGGGCATGATCTGTGTCCCTCTTGTTTGGGTCTGGATCATTTGGAAGAGGCCTTGACTGATGCGGCATGCCCTAATTGTTCTGTCCTGCCTTTGTCCATACGTAACGCTCGTTTGGCTGGCCTTCGAAGCGCCAGCCAGCCTGTGAAACGTGTGTCTTCTGAGGCTATGGGGCCTCCACGGAAGAGGAGCAAGAGGAGCCCCAGGGTTCCGGAGGGCATATCTGGGCAGGTGGCCCAGCTCGCTTCTGAACTAGAAGGGATGAAGGCGTTGCTTGAGTCCCTTAGGGGCGAGCGTGGCGCTGACATGTCTGGAGACCCTGACCAAGGACATAGCGTTGGTTCGGGAGTCTCTGCTTTAGAAGATGATGCCATTTCCCTGGCAGCGTCTGGCACTGATTTTCGGGATCAATTTGACTCCGGCTCACTCCTCTCAGAAGCCGGTTCACATATCTCTTCTGGCTCTCAGTCAGAGGAGGATGGTTCTGTAGTGGGCGCTCTGAGAACTGCCCTCGCCCGGTTGCATCTGGATGCTCCACAGGACCAACCTGCGGCTTCCAGTGCTTTCTTTTGGCGTCCTACTGCTAGGGCGTCCTTTATGGTTCCCCCGTCTGCAGAGTATGTGAAGGAGCTCCATGCCTGTTGGACAGACACTAAGGCCTTCTCGAGGCTGACCTCTGACGGCAGGGCACTGGCGGCCATGCATGATGCGCCCAGTCTTGGCTTGGGCCATATGCCTTCGGTTGAGCCAGCCATAGCTTCCCTCATTGTGGCGCCGGATGAGGCTTTGAGGGCCAATGCCAGGTGTCCTCGTCCTCAGTGCCGTGTCACTGACGATCTGCTCTGTAGAGCCTATGACTCTGGGGCTCGTTTGGGGCGACTTGGGAATTCCCTGTCGCATTTATTACTCGGTCTCTCGGCTTCCTTGGAGGGCGTCGCGATCGACGCACCTACCCAAGGACTGATGGATGCGTCCCTCCATGCATTTGCTCTTCTGTCGAGGGAGGTTGGACGTGTCCTGTCTACCCTTGTTCAGGCACGTCGCCAGGTCTGGCTGGCTCAGTCTCCTCTGACAGAGGCATGTAGAAGGACCCTGATGGGCCTTCCAGTTGTTCCTGGGGAGTTGTTTGGCTCCGCTGCACTTGCAGCCCTGGAACGATCGGCCGAGGCCTCGCGTACCAGGCAACAGTTGGCCGGTCTGCATCGCAGACGAGCGCAGCGTCCTACTAGGAGTGCCTCTGTGTCCCTGTCATATGCTTGTCCTGCCCGGACTACACCTTGCTTGGGGCAGCCACGGTTTGCTGCAGGGCCTGCTGCCAGGCCTGCCCATGGCCACTACGATCCACCGAGGGGTCGAGCTAATGTCGCTCCTCAACCTGGGCGGGCAACTCAGCAACCCTCCCGCCCCCCGAAGGGCAGGGGGGCTCGGAGATGACGTCACTGGACCGGCGGTGGGACACTTTACCCCGGAGCAGCTCGGTTGCTGGGCCGCTCTTGTGTCCGATCCATGGGTGGTGTGTACACTTACCCGGGGTTACACGCTACAGTTCCGCCGCCGCCCTCCTGTCCCTGGTCGAGTCAGGATGACGGTGATTCGCGACCAGGTAAAAGCACAGGCTCTGAGCCAAGAAATAGACACCTTGCTGGCCAAGGGTGCTATTTTGCCCGTCAACCCCCTGCGGGACCCAGGGGGCTTTTACTCGAAGTATTTTTTAATTCCCAAAAAGACTGGGGGACTCCGCCCAATTTTGGACCTGAGGGGTTTGAATCTTTACATGAAGTCCATCCCCTTCCACATGTTGAGCATCAGGGACGTGCTTCAGGCAATTTCCCCAGGCGACTGGTTCACCTTGGTCGATTTGAAGGACGCATATTTTCATGTCCCGATTGCACCACAGCATTGGCGTTTTCTCCGCTTTGCATTTCAGGGCAGGCATTTTCAGTTCAGGGTTCTCCCGTTCGGCCTCTCTCTGTCCCTGCGTGTGTTCACTCGGTGCATGGCCGCGGCCTTGTGTCCTCTGCAGGCCAGAGGGTTGAAGATCCTGCCTTATTTGGACGACTGGCTCGTCTGTGCGCCCACAGAAGCTCAAGCTGCTGCAGACACGCGCACCTTGCTCGATCACATGGACCTATTGGGTCTTTGTGTGAACTGGCAGAAGAGCAACCTGATTCCGTCTCAGCAGGTAACGTTTCTCGGTATCACGATGGACTCTCTCTCCATGACTGCTCGCCCATCGCCTCAGCGTGTCGAGAGCATTCTGCAGATGCTGCCTGCCTTTCTTCCCGGTCGGGCGCCCCCCTTTGTTCTCTATCTCCGTCTGCTGGGGAAGCTGACAGCTGCCGCTACTGTAGTGCCCCTAGGGCTGCTGTCTCTGCGACCACTGCAGATGTGGCTCAACAGCCTGAGGCTGGATCCTTCTCGTGCGTCACACCGTCACAGGAAATTGCAGGTGTCCCCTCAATGCCTCGTATCGCTGGCTCAGTGGCGAGAGGCAGGATTCATGATAAGGGGAGTTCCGCTGGGTTTGCTGCCATCCCGTTGGGAAGTTGTCTCTACCGACGCGTCCACCACAGGATGGGGGGCCTTGTGGCAGCGACAGATCGCTCGGGGGACATGGTCTCCACAAGAGAGGCGGCACCACATCAACGCTCTGGAGTTGGAGGCTGTGCACCGCGCGCTGCGGCACTTCCTCCCGGTCCTGCGGGGAAGGCATGTCCTGGTGCGGTCGGACAACACGTCGGTTGTTTTTCACATCAACCATCAAGGGGGGAAAACGGTCTTTGATGCTACTGAGGCTGACCCGGGAGCTTCTGACCTGGGCAGCCCCTCTTTTTGCCAGCCTGAGGGCGACCCACATCCCGGGGATGCAGAATGTTCCTGCCGACATCCTATCCCGGGGGCGTCCACCACCCGGGGAGTGGAGGCTCCACCCGGATGTAGTGGAAACTATTTGGGAGAGGTTCGGGAGAGCAGCCGTAGATTTGTTCGCTTCCCGAGAGACGACACATTGCCCGCTGTGGTTCTCCCTGTCGGACAGTGCCAGTCCCCTAGGTCAGGACGCGCTGTCGCACGACTGGCCGAGGGCACTCCTCTACGCCTTCCCGCCACTTCCCCTGATAGGCCCAACACTCCTGAGGGTCCTTCAGGAGGGACATCAGCTCCTTCTGGTGGCCCCCCGGTGGCCAGGGAGGACTTGGTTTCCGATGCTGCACAGGCTCTGTTGCAGCTCTCCGATGCCTCTTCCCTGCAGGAAGGACCTGCTGTCACAGCTGGACGGTCGGATCCTGCATCCCAATCCCAGTCGCCTCCGACTCTGGGTCTGGCCACTGCAGGGCCCGGCGTTTCCTTCTCGGAGTATGGCGGGGACATCGGACACACGATGACTAACGCCAGGGCCCCTTCCACGCGTCCGGTGTACGCCCATAAGTGGAAGGCTTTTAGCCGCTGGTGTCAGGAAAGAAGTGAGGACCCTGTACACTGTCCTGTTTCTGTTATTTTAACCTTCCTTCAAGCACTGCTTTCTCAAGGTTGCTCTCCATCCACTCTAAAAGTCTATGTGGCTGCCATCTCTTGCTGGCATTCGGTGGTGAGTGGGGAGACGGTGGGTCGTAACAAGGACGTTTCCTTGTTTTTGAGGGGTGCCCGGCGTTTGCACCCTCCCACACGCCCTGTTGTGCCGGTGTGGGACCTTTCTATTGTCCTCGCTGCCCTGCGCTCTCCTCCCTATGAACCATTGGCGGGGGCAAGCCTTGAGTGTGTGTCGAAGAAGACAGCTTTTCTCCTCGCCATGGCCTCGGCGAAACGGGTGAGTGAACTACATGCACTGTCTGTTCACGAGTCCTGCTGCCGTTGGAACCCGGCTGGTTCGGGTGTTACTCTTTGGCCTAATGCGGCGTTTCTTCCTAAAGTGGCTTCACCCGCGAGCCACACTGTGCCCCTCCAGCTTGCTCGCCTTGATACAGATGGGCCTGATGAGCTTCTCTGCCCTGTTCGGGCACTGAGGACATATGTCAGTCTCACAGCTTCTCTCCGACAGGCAGATAATCTGTTTGTCTGCTACGCGGGGCCCCGCAAGGGGCAGGCCCTTTCTAAACAGCGCCTTGCGCGTTGGATTGTGGATGTAGTGGAACAGGCGTACATTCAGCGGGGCCTCCAACCCCCCGCTGGTGTACGGTGCCATTCCACAAGGGGTGTCAGTGTGTCATGGGCCGCTATGACTGGTCTCACTCTGGAGGCTATTTGCTCAGCAGCCTCTTGGTCATCCCCGAATACCTTTGCTAGGTTTTACAGGGTCAACTTGGCCACCCCTCACCCAATGCAGGGGATCCTGTCCCAGCGCACGCCATCTTCCCAGTGAGGTGGGCATGTTTGGGTTGTTGTTTCTGTGTGTGATTCCTCAGGACTCTGTTGGTAATCGTCATCCGTGCTTTAAGCACCGCCTCTGGCGGTCAGTAGGGATGAAATAGAACGAAAGTTACGACTGTAACTACGGTTCTATGAATCCCGGATGACCGCCAGAGCGCTCGGTCCCTCGGAATCATTGTGTGTTCGCGAGAAGATTAAGGGACTGAGCTGTCGCTGTCACGTGACTATATAGGCACACCGGTGTCACCGGGGGTCACACGTGACTATGTTGGTATAAGATTCTCGACCTGTGCATGCGCAAGAGTGATCATTCGTGCTTTCAGCACCGCCTCTGGCGGTCATCCGGGATTCATAGAACCGTAGTTACAGTCGTAACTTTCGTTCATCTCGCGCATGCTCTGTACGATCTCCAAGAAACAGAGCGGCGCGGTGTGCAGCCACAGTGGAGGATGCTGCTTTGCTTTGTGCAGGCGGTCTGGAGCGTCTGGATTTCGGGGTAAAACTCCTCTTGGACGCGATGGCGACTCTGCATCGAACAAGACGAACTCAAAGAAGAGATGCTAGCGGTAAATATATGTTCGATTACTGCCTGCTAAGCTAAAAGCAGCCTAGCCTAAGCTACCGGCTAATAGCAGCCTAGCTATTAGCCTATCTAGCCTAGCCTTGCAAGAACAAGCTTTATTAAAGTGTATTTTTTGTGATTACAGGAAGCAGTATGCCGTCTTAACAACTCGGAGACTAATTGCAGGCGCTATGAACCGGAGCAAGGGTAAGATTTAAAGAATATGCTTTCATTCTGCGGTAAAAGGTAATGGATACGGATAGATACCGATCATAGCTTTTACATTTTGTTTTCACAGACTACTGTCGCCTCACAATGAGGCGGTGACCTCCTATTTGCTCGGAGCCATAATCAGCAAGTCCAGATTTGCACGATGTTGATAAAGACGACATTGTGTGTAAGTGACTTGTTTTAATGTTTTCTCCTTCCTTGTTACTGTGACTTGCGTTTGATTTTTTATTTATACCACTCTCATTTGTTTTCCAGCTGCCTGTAAGACGTATTTTCAGACGGCACGCAGGAGCTTCAGATATAGGCTGCCAGCCAACACGCTGCGTGCGGAGGCTATCTGCTCGGAGTCGGGCGAGAAGAAAGAGGGTAAGACTTTATTTGGTGACTATTTTTCAGGTGCATTAATAGATGTGTTGTGTCCATACGCAGTGCGCTGATTCATTGTTTTTTTTTTCAGCTGCTGAAAGCGAGGCAGAGTGTGCTAGCAGATGAGGAAGTGGAACTCTGGAAGTCCACCTTCCTCGGCGGTGTCTCTGGATGGATTGTACGGTCGCCGCCATTTCGTAGGCCGGTGTGACAGATCAACTGGGGAGGAGATTAACTGGTTAGAATCTATGCGCACCGCAGATGTTACTGAAGCTTAGGTGGCTGTGTTGATGCCTGGCGAAAAAATATTCCTAACGTAACAAAACTGTTCGCCAAAAAAAATCAACCGACATATCTAATGAATTAATTTCTGTTTTGTTTTGTTTTTTTCAGATTAGAACGATGTGGTAAAGAACTTGTATCCTCAGCAAAGCAGATAGTGCAAAGAATCCCACACAGAGAACAGCGTCGTTCACAAGTGTAAAGAAAAAATACAAATAAAAGTCTGTCTCACACTGGAGTGTCATTTCTCCTGTTGAACGATAAGTTATAAATGAAAACCTGTAGCTTGCACGATAAAGTCCGCCCACTTTCTAAATTCCTGAATGTAAAAATAAATCCATTAATGAGGCCTGTCATTCAGAATGCACGTGTGTAAGCAGCACATTTTAAAGAAAAACTGACTGCAAACAGAACAATTGGGCTTCTCATCCTTCCAACTATTCCCACTTTATTTTTTGAATATTGACAAAAAGTTGTTTTTTTAGATTCAATGCGCTCATATTTCCTTTATTCTCCTGTCTGGAGTGGACACAAATACAAGTCTCTACTACGGTGTTGTTGTTTTTTTAGTGGATCCCAAAACTTTGTTCCGTATGATGAACTGTATCAGGTCAAACACCTTTATTTTTATTGCTATTGTGTTCAGTCTGTTTGTCTGTTTATAATATACAGTTATGAGACCATAATGGGCTGCTGATGAGCTGGTTTTACTGCCCCATGTGTAAAAAGGGGGTAAAATGTATTTACTTAGGCGCATTGCAGCTAATAGAATCTGAATCACATACCTGTTGATGCGGAAACTTTACTTTTTCAGTTTTCACAGTAGAATTTAAATCCCAGAGTTCGCAGCTACCGCTACGGTGTGGGTGTGAGTCGCCATGACTGCTTTATGTTTTATCTTGTAGAAAAATGCAGATATTATTAAACGAAGAACTAGATTAATTTGTGACGGGGTCCACAGCACAGCTGTTTGGAGAGATTAGTTGGCTGAGTGGTTGCCCGATCAAAATACCGCAAATGTAAACAAACGGGTCAGAATAAAGTTTATAATTTATCCTGGCCTAATATCTATCCAACACACGTCTGTTGTCTGTGGATAATGTGAAATATTATGAGTAATTTAAGTTTGGGGATCAAATAAATGCATCGTGAGGATCTGAAAGCGTCAGAATCTGCAGAGTGTCACAGATTAACTTGTGATCCAGCGGATCTGGAGGAATATGGGCTGTAAAACCCTCCATCTCCTGGGATGTTTGAATGTTATTATCTTATCCTCAATTAGGGTTGTAGCAGGCTACTTTAAATTTTTAACTGTTATTGTTGATTATTTTTCTTACCGCAAATACGAACCTGTCATGATGTGTGACCATGTTAATGCTGTCAGCTGTCATCTTATTCCCTTCTATTGTTTTGAGGACGCCACATTATTTGTTTTGCATGCAGAACAACTTTAAATCATTCGCGTTTTTCAAGTTACTGGCAATAGAGTATTGCTTTGTCTACTTTTTACTATTGGTCTAAATTGTTTGCTTCACTGGTACAATTAGAATGACAAAAAGCAATTCAGCACAAAACGTTGATTGCGAGGAAATGTTTGTCATGTCAGAGTTAGGAGATAATACTATCTTGCCCATTTGTGGAAAATCTGTTAAAATAAAAGGAGGGCATAAGAGTGTATGTGGGATCGAACCCTCGGCCGATGTTGTTTTGGTTTGCAAAGCGTCTATGTACCTGCTGAGCTATTGATATGAACACTCTATCTATCCCCACCTGCGATAATGAACCTGTTGCGTGTGTCTGCTTTGCCTGTTGAAGAGCTGGTCTTAGATCAACTGGTGACAGTTAGTGTTTCAGAGTCCGCTGTTCGCTTAAAACATGTTTGAATTCCAGAATATCAGATATAACTATCTTTTCCTTCTTTACTCTTAGAACAGAATGGGGCCTCCCCGTTAAGATATAGTTAGACAGTAGTTTATGCTATGCTATTAAAAAATAAAAAATAATAACCAGATCTTTTTTTTTCGATCAGATATCTACCGTAAAATCTCCCTTTTTTATTTATTCATTGTTTGGCTGCAGTCAGCTGGAGGCTGTGCTGCTTCTTTAAATGCTTTAGTACAGCAGGTTCTGCATTTGTTCGCCCCGATGCCCAAAATATCACATATATTCACACAATATATAAAATAAATTCAGAGATTTCACTCTTCCCCGCAGCAGTTATGTTATTTTGCTTTGTTCCTGCAACACATCTTAAACTTTAAAGACATTTACAACTCCTCTGGAAACGAGTTAGACTGTAAGTGATTAGTTTCCCTCCATATAAACAGTCGGCGCTTTTGAGAAAAAAAAAGGAACATTTGATTTTCGCTCGTTTTAATTTACAAGACATACAGGACGACAAAAAAATGCAGAACAATACACCGTTAGATGTTCCCATTGACCTTTTATTGCACTGGCTGTTTTTACTTCTCATACAGCTTTCTGTGGTTTTTCTACTCGGTTCTTTCTCTCATCGCTGAGGCTCTGAAACAAACAGATAAACAACAGCAGGACAAGTTCCTCAAATCTCTGTGTGCGGGTTCGGAGAAATCCCTAAAACATGCGATATGTTTTCTTAATGCAATTAAATACCTTGCTGACGGTGATTTCTAAAGATCTCAACGTATTTCGCATCGATCAGATAACAAGATAATTTGTAGTTCTTGGAGTCTACACGCAGTTTACTTCCTGTTTGAGGCGAGGGGTCCTGAAAAGCCCCGCCCACAGACACATCTGCAAAAATCAGCGGTTTTCCAGCTGCCGTCACCAGTTGATCTCCTCCCCAGTTGATCTGTCACACCGGATCTCACTGAACTCTGTGTTAAGCTGCAGTCCCGGTTAGAAGCGATGCCGAAGTACAGAGCCACGCACAGTAGGCGTCTGCACATCGGACCTGCCTCGGAGGGAATGCTGCCAGTTACCTCCAACCCCGAGGAAGCAAACGGACCCTTCACGGACTTTTAATTTTTAGATACGCATGTGTTTGGATACGCGTTGTATATAGTTGTGTGTGTTTCAATAAAGCTCTTTCTTTGCATAAACAGCTTCCTGGCAAATGTTCATTTCCTGTATAAATTCATTCATGTCCTTGATGGTAGCCTAATAATTGTGTAGTAGTGTAGGATAACATAAATACACACCATATGAATGAATAAATATATGAATGAATAAATATATGAATATATATATATATATATGAATGAATAAATATATATATATGAATAAATATACAGGTGCTGGTCATAAAATTAGAATATCATGAAAAAGTAGATTGATTTCAGTAATTCCATTTAAAAAGTGAAACTTGTATATTATATTCATACATTACATACAAACTCATATATTTCAGATGTTTATTTTGTTTAATTTTGATGATTACAAATGACAACAAATGAAAATCTCAAATTCATCATATCAGAAAATTAGAATATTACTGAAGACCAATAAAAACAAAGGATTTATAGAAATGTTGGCCAACTGAAAAGTATGAACATGAAAAGTATGAGCATGTACAGCACTCAGTATTTAGTTGGGCCTCCTTTGGCCTGTATTACTGCAGCAATGCGGCGTGGCATGGAGTCGATCAGTCTGTGGCACTGCTCAAGTGTTATGATAGCCCAGGTTGCTCTAATAGTGGCTTTTAGCTCTTCTGAATTGTTGGGTCTGGTGTATTGCATCTTCTTCTTCACAATACCCCATAGATTTTCTATGGGGTTAAGGTCAGGAGAGTTTGCTGGCCAATTAAGAACAGGGATACCATGGTCCTTCAACCAGGTACTGGTAGCTTTGGCACTGTGTGCAGGTGCCAAGTCCTGTTGGAAAATGAAATCTGCATCTCCAAAAAGTTGGTCAGCTGCAGGAAGCATGAAGTGCTCTAAAACTTCCTGGTATGTGGCTGTGTTGACCCTGGACCTCAGAAAACACAATGGACCAACACCAGCAGATGACATGGCACCCCAAACCATCACTGACTGTGGAAACTTTACACTGGACTTCAAGCAACGTGGATGAAGTGCCTCTCTTCTTTTCCTCCAGACTCTGGGACCTTGATTTCCAAAGGAAATGCAAAATTTACTTTCATCAGAGAACATGACTTTGGACCACTCACCAGCAGTCCAGTCCTGTTTCTCTTTAGACGCTTCTGACGCTGTCTGTGGTTCAAGAGTGGCTTGACACAAGGAATGCGACAGCAGAAACCCATGTCTTTCATACGTCTGTGTGTGGTGGTTCTTGAAGCACTCACTCCAGCTGCAGTCCACTATTTGTGAATCTCCCCCACATTTTTGAAGGGGTTTTGTTTCACAATCCTCTCCAGGCTGCGGTTATCTCTCTTGCTTGTACACTTTTTTCGACCACATCTTTTCCTTCCCTTCGCCTCTCTATTAATGTGCTTGGACACTGAGCTCTGTGAACAGCCAGCCTCTTTAGCGATGACCTTTTGTGTCTTGCCCTCCTTGTGCAAGGTGTCGATGGTCGTCTTTTGGACAACTGTCAAGTCAGCAGTCTTCCCCATGATTGTGTAGCCTATAGAACTAGACTGAAAGACCATTTAAAGGCTTTTGCAGGTGGTTTGAGTTAATTAGCTGATTAGAGTGTGGCACCAGGGGCCATCAATTTTGAACCTTTTCACAATATTCTAATTTTCTGATATGATGAATTTGAGATTTTCATTTGTTGTCATTTGTAATCATCAAAATTAAACAAAATAAACATCTGAAATATATGAGTTTGTATGTAATGTATGAATATAATATACAAGTTTCACTTTTTAAATGGAATTACTGAAATCAATCTACTTTTTCATGATATTCTAATTTTATGACCAGCACCTGTATATATGTAAATATATATATATGCCAACCAATCACGAGCGACTTTGCTTGTTTAAAAAGAAGTGGTTCCGTCCAATACTCAGTAAGAAAATTAAAGCCTGGCGTGGCCACGTGTGGTTTTGCTGCCAATCACGAGCGTTTTCATTTGTTTGAGAATAGTGGTTTCAGCCAATACTGAGAAGGTTATTCAAGCCAGACCTGGCCAGCCGCGCGGGTTTGCTGTATTCATATGCTAATTAGGGCCATTAGTACAGCTGATCGCTCTCCACATACGTCACGGTACGTTTTCGACAATTTGTGGCACGACAGACGCGGACAAGCACGGGTTGCAAATTGTCGGAAACTGACGAAAATCAGGCAGATCTGCGGGAGTTTACAGGGGTTTACGGGGACGAAAATCTCACTTTTCATGCAGTGAACATTGCAAAGAGGACATGGACTCGTACCTACAAACTGCTTCTATGTTTGCCTAAACTGACACAGGGATGGTCTCTCAAGAATCTAAAAGGAATGCTGAAGGTTTCACCAGGGGATAATTTGTCCTGCAATTTGTTTTGTGAGTGGCACACCGTTACTGGCTTCTATCAAACAAATCCTCAGTCCTTCAAGCTACTTTACATGTGTGCTTCTTTCACTGCAGTTTGGAGAACTGCCTCTATCTGATTTATGGTTGTGGATGAAGCAAAATGCAGACCAACGTTTTTTGCTGCTCCTGTCCGAAAACTCCCTAAAGGAGACAAGTAGCTATAAACTATTTGTCCACATTAACCACATGTTAATTCCTCCAAAATCAAATTCTGATATTTTCAAGCTCCTTTTGCTGGATAACAGAACATTCCCAAATGTCCGACCAACCATCTGCAGACTCCATTACAGTCAGAATAATAAAGTATCACCACAAAACTATCTATATAAATTCATCACTTTTGAGCCAAATGGGTCTAGCAGACAAACAAGTAATGCAGGAGCAGTAAAGCACTGGTAAAACATCTTGCTTGTAGGATTCTATTGACACAGGAGTGAAGAAGGGCAGGAAATTTAAACACGTTATTTCCTCTAAGGATGCACCGATTGCTCACCAAGGGACAGGTTTGAAAACAACTGTTTAACTGTTTAATTTCATTTCCCCCGATATTTGAACATATGATGACAAAGTGCCTCCTTTGCATTTAAAGAGAAATTGTTAGAAACTTTTAGAAAAGGCAAACAGTTATTATTTTACCTGCAGTTGATATCTTCTGCATCTTAATCTTGTTTACATTAATTGGTGCTGCAGGTTGACACTATTAGCAAACCCAGTGGGTGTAAAGAAAAAAGCAGATTTTCCACCGAAACAACTTAAATATCCAAAATGTCAAAAACACTTTATGTAAGCACCTTTTTTTAACCTTTAAGTTTTTATTAGTCAAACTTTTCTGCTTAGAGTAACTACGGAAAGCTAAATGTTATTAAAAAAACAAAACTCCTCTCAGTCTTGTGTGGAGTGATGATCACAAACCAAACAACCTATGACTAGATTTGTCGATTGCATCCCTAATTTCTTTAAGAGTATACGTAAAATCTAACTTATTGACAAAGATCACTTTGCAGCCTGAACAATACTCTTGTGGCTTTAACTCAATCAATGTGTCAATAATTTTTTCAATTAATCAATTAGTAATCCGATAGCCAAAGATTCCTTAAAAAATATTTTTTACGAAATTAAACCAGGTGAAACTAAAACTTCTCCACTTGCTCCACAGAGTTCTGGATGGAGCATATTGACACACGAAAACGTTCTTTTTATCTTAAGGTATAGTGGAGGACGAAAGTTGTAGGGAAGTCGTTGTTCCAACCGTTGCATTTCCAAATTCTCCCACGTGGTGCACGACTTTACACGAGTGAATAAAGTGAATGTGATTGGTCGATTATCAAGGGGGCGGGGTTGTTGTGGCGGAAGGTTCACAAGCAAGTTTGATCGTGGCTGGTTTGTCAGAAGCATCTTGCTAACCAGTTAGCAACTTAGTGCTAGTAGGTTCCCAATGGGAAATTCCATTGGGACCAAGTAGCACTCAATTGGTGACTTAGAAAAGACACTGTCAAGGAACGCTATGGACAGCGGAAACATGCAAGAGGAGGAGAGTTTTGTGTCGGAGGTCGTTGATGAGTCTCCTCCGTTATACATTTTTTATTTAGGGAAGGAAAGCGGGGACAAAGATGTTGTGGAAGAGGACGCCAGGGCGGCAGAAGCTTGGTTTGGTGTAGAAGGCTTACAGCCGTACATGTTTGAGCCCTTGCCTCGCAACGCTGCCAGTTCTGTTAGTTCTACGCTGCCGAAGACACAGACGTCCATCCCCGTGAACACTGGGACGGAACTCAATGGGAAAGGAAATTATTCTTATTTCAAGCGTTGCTTATATTAGTTGCGACATGAATCAAGATGCTATGACCGAAAAAATTTGATTGACAGGTGACCGTTGATATATGATTGGCCGAATTTAAGGTGTTCAGCCTGACGTATAACTAACCGGCCTGCATAAAATAACAAAACAAAAACACAGATTTTAAGACAGGTTTTTTTTTTTAAAACAGAAATTTTCTAACTTTTGGGACAATATCGTCTGATAAAGAGTACATTTATATACATGTTTAAGACAGAATTATTTGAAATTAAATATGACTTCCCTAAGACTTTAAATGCAAAATGTTTATATATTTTTTCAAGATTTTCATATATTTACTGCTCTAATTGGGTTGTTCTGCCAGTTAAAGGCTTATTTTAAAGTCTTTATACTCTAGTTAAGGATTAATCGATTACTAAATTAGTTGACAATTATGTCAATAATCAATTAGTCATGAATTATCTGACTGTTTCCGCCCTAGACCACATACATAACAAATGGCTTAAATGTTTCCCTGCATGAAAGGAATTGACACACAGCACTCGGGTAGAATGTCTGGCGAAAGGTTTGTTTTGTGAAGTTTGATAAAAATCAAGGACAAACTCACTTCTTTAGGATCTCCATCTTCAGCCTGGTAGATGACTTTGTATTTCCGAACAGCTCCAGGAGCAGCGTCCCAGTACAGCACCATGGTGCTATGGGTAACATCACGCACTCTCAGTTCACCTGCTGGTGGCATGGGCACTGAACAAGAAACCAAAGGCAGGATGAGTTTCAACCCTATTTATACATAAAACTAGTGAAATTTGACAAAGTAACAAAATTATAATGCAAGAAAGCAGCATACAGGTGACACCCTGCTGGGTCAGTGGTTCGCTGGCTGCTTCTCCATAGAGGGCAAACAGAGAGAGCGTGTAGGCCGTGTTTGGAATGAGCCTCACCAGCTGGATGTCTGTTGTACCTGCTCCAGCTCTCAGCTACAAGGCAACCAAACCAAACAAATAACAAAGAGGTCAGAGAGGAAATTATTGCCTCTAAGAGATGCAGATGTGCATAAGGTCAGTGAGTAAAATCTTTAGCTTTGAGGACATCTGTTAGATCTGGTTTTAACCCACCGGGTTTGACACTTCATGAGCAAACCCTGACGTTCCCTTTGCAGAGTGAGCTCATAGTTAATCCACCCTTTATGAGACTTACAATGTCTAGCTTTTATGTCAGCTAATCAATGAGAAATGACGGATTTGTACAAAGTGAATTAACTCAAGGAAACTGAATTATGTCCAAAGAGAAGAAGTTTATCATATAAAACATGTGTTATTCAAATGAATATGTTTTGTTGCCATTTAAAATGCCTTGTTTGATGAAAATTGATTATAAATGCTTGTCCTCCCTTGCATTGCCAGGCTTTTTTCTTAGTGTAAAATCAGCATTACCTCCTGTTCAATGGTTGGCTGAGTGGCGTTGATGGCGCTATAGAGCAGCATGTACCCGGTGGCGCCCTGCACCTCCTCCCACCTGACCCGCATGGTAGTTGTCTGTTCATCGTAAATGGTCATACTGCGCACAGCACTCAGAGGCACTGTGTGAAAGACAAAGAAAGAGAAACACCTGAGCTGCTTTCTTTCAGCATCCACTCAGAATCAGAGGTAATTAGTTACTGGTTACATTTACTCAGTTACATAAAAAAAAATACTTTCAGGAGTTTTACTTTTACTTAAAAAATATTAGTATTACTACTTCTACTTGATTAAAAGTTCTGGCTACTCTTTGCATGTGAGTAACTTCACTGCAAAATTGATCTAGACCCAATTCAACATTTATTAAATTAGGTGTATTTGCCTTTAATCTGAGTAGGTTAATTAGACGATCTGCCAATGTAATCTTAAAATAAGATACTTTAATAATATGCACTTAAAACAAGATAATGCAAATCTTTTTTTCTTATTTTAAATGTAAATTTTCTTGTTCCATTGGCAAAGTGTTTTACTTTCTTCCTCAATTCAAGAAAAAATGCACTTATTTTAAGAAACAATTACTTCTCTAGATTTTGATTTTTTCCAGTGTTGAGCTAATTGGAGATCAGGTTAAGATACAATAGACAGTAGAAAGGTAATAAGTTTTATGTAGAAAAAATGAATTTGAAAAAGTCTTTCTCTGTGAATTTTGTGAAAATGTATTTTCTTTTATTTTTTATGCATCTTAGTCTTAGCTGATCCAACATAGTGATGTTGGTCCAATTATTAATCAGTACTTAGAAGCTTTTTACTAAATACTATTTATGATTGATTTCTTGCTTGAATACTTTTATTTTTATCTCAGTATTCAAATGTTCAAGAAGTGCTTTTAGATACTCTACCAACCTCTGCTTAGACTAGACTTAGGCATAGGATTGGATCTAATATGTCTGAGCCAAAAACCCTGCATGCACAAAACGGTTAATGTTTTTTAACATGTAAATATACTCTTAAATGTCTGTCATTCTACAAAGCAGCAGTAAAAGAGCAAATACCACCCCAGAATAAACAGGGGCAGAAAGTCTCTGGAAAGTGAAGGTAAGCCTGTAAATACTCTCATGTAAATCTTCTCTAAACTTCCATCTAATTAAGATTTATTACAGCTTTCGTTTTTTTATAGACCAAGATATAAATGCGAGCTTTGAACATTTTATTACTGGAGACCGCACAGTTCCTGAATGCATAAAATCAAAACTTTGAGCCAACTTGAGCTACACTGCTGTACTCTGAGCTTTATTTCTAAGCTTATCTTTCACAAATTCTGATCGATTGTAATTTTTTTTTTCATTTTTACATAAATCTTTAGCCTTTTATCCACATTTATATGATTCAATGTCACTGGAGCTATTAGCGGGTGAATTTAGTATACAGAGAAGGAGACTTACAGGTGGTTTCTGTTCCTTTTAGTGGTTTGCTGATGTCTTCTCCCACAACTGAGTAGACGTTGACCAGGTACTTTGTTAGAGGGGTGAGTCCTTGGAGAACCACTGTGGTTGTACTACCATCAACAGACACCTAATAAAAAAGTGCAGGGTTAGACCTGTAAGAGTTCACTTTTTTTTGCACAATGACAGGAGTAGAGTTAATACTTTAAGTGCAGTTACAGTCAGAACCCTGTGTTTATATACTGTACTGCAAAAACAATCTAGAAATAAGTCAACATTTCTTAAATTAAGTGTATTTCATCATAAATTAAATAGGTAAATAAAATAATTTGACAATGGAATGAGATTTTTTAGTCATAAAATAAGATAATTATATAGTATGTACTTGAAATAAGACAATGTAATTGTTTTTTTCTAATTTTTTATGTGAATTGTCTTCCTCCATAGGCAAAGTATCTCTTATTCAATTCAAGAAAAAATGCACTTATATTAAGAAAGAATTACTTATCTAGACTTCGATTTTTTTCCAGTGTGTGTATAACAAAACAAAAAAATATAGTCTTGTGTGACATTGTTTCAAAAAACAATCTTCCTGTTTCTGGTTAGTAATAAATATCCAAATCCTCTCTGGTTAATAAATGCCAGATTACTAAAAGTAGATAACTTTGCTAAAAGTCAGAATTTGGTCTTGTTTCTTTTGCATTTGGTACATTGGAAAAACGAACTAGAAATAAGTAAACATTTCTTAAATTAAGTGTATTTACCCTTAATTTGAGTAGGTAATGAGATTGGAATCTTATGGAATGAGTATTTTTACTTTTAAAATAAGATAATCAGATAATATGCACTTAAAAAAGGACAATGCAATTGTGTTTTCTTATTTTAAGAGTAAATTGTCTTGTTCAATTGGCAAAATACCTCTTTTGCCTCCTCAATTCAAGAACAAATGTTCGTATTTTAAGAAAAAATTACTTATCTAAATTTCGATTTTGTTTCCAGTATAGAATTTCCTTTTAAACATTGGGACCAAATAGACCATCCTTCCACAAGCTACTCAGTATTACTTGCTGGAGTTTTAGCTCATTCCTACAGAAACAACTGTTTGTAGTTCATGTTGCTTAGAAACACGTTCACATAGCATCTACACACAAATGTTGTGGGTGGCTTGGATCATTGCCTTAATAAATTATATCCTTTTCCATATTTCATATTTTAGAGAATAAAACGGTCTTGTGAATCAACACACTGCAAAAACGATAAGTCAAAATTTCTTAAATTAAGTGTATTTACGCTTAATTTGAGTAGGTAAAAAATATGATTTGCCAATGGAATGAGTATTTTTACTCTTCAAGTAAGATCATTAGATAAAACACACTTGAAATAGGACAATGTAATTTTTTTGCTCTTGTTTTAAATGTAAATTGGCTTGTTCCATTGGCAAAGTGTCTCACTTACTTTCTCAATTCAAGAACTAATGCACATATTTTAAGATAAAATGACTCATTTAGATTTATATTTTTGCAGTGCATTACAGTGAAAACCAGAAAGCTCTCTTTGAAGTTGTCTCCATGAATCCATCCAAGCTTGGATTTCCCATTTCCGAATCCCTAAATATCACCAAAGACCCAACTTAAGGTCCAGCATCAAACAAAACCTTGAGAACTGAACGAAAGCAAACAACACCTGCATTGTAATTAGATTCAGTTGCCAATAACACATCCATGGTGGTGGCAAGCCTCTACTGGTCAATGAAGCTATCAGTCATGGAGTCATTATTTGCTTTCTAATCCTCTACACTCAGAGCTGTGTGTTTGTGTTTCCCTGCCTCATAGCAGACTGTAATGTAATTAGACACTGACACAGAGTCCAACACAAACAGGAGGCTGCTTGAGTGGAGCTTCCCACTAGTATCGGAAGCTGTTTGTCAGAAAAAGCTTTAAGCCAACATCCAGTCAGTACCCTGAAGCTCACTGCAGTTCAAGTAAGAACAGAATTATTGGCAGATATGAGAATTTCAGAAATGACAGGATATGAAATATGGTATACCTGTTGGCGGACTCCTGACACAGTCATGTATTCCACTCGGTATCTTTCCACTGGGCCTTGTGGAGCAGTCCAGCTGGCTCTGAAGGACTGGTGAGTTACCTCTGATGTAACCAGATCAGTTGGTGAATCTGGAGCTCCTCCTGTTTAGATAAAAAAGTGCTGCACTAGTAATCATAGAGCACCATAATGAATATCATTTACAAGCATTCCTGTGTAGCCTTTGCTTTTAAAAATAATTACTTGGAGTTAAAAAGGTTTACTTCTTTGGTTACAAATCGCATCACAATTTTACAAACAGCCAGTGATGGGCAGTAGCGCCGCTACATGTAGCGAAGCTATTAGTTTAACTACATTTTCCAGTAGCTTGAGCGTAGCGTCGCTGCTTTATTTATCAAGTAACTTTCCTGTAGCGACGTTATTGTTTTGATCAAGTAGCGACGTAGCGTCCACAAACGCTACAAAATCCAGGGCATAACTAAGAAATGAAACCAGGTTTTCTATTTCTAAACAACAATCAGCCACAAAACTACTTTAAATAGCAGTTTCAGCTGACGCTCTTATAAGCGGCGTAGTAGCACAGGCACACTCAGTAGGCTTAAACAAGCGCACCCTTTCCGAGGCTGTCGTTCTATTGGCTGGAAAGGTTGCTAGGCGACGATCCAACTGCAGTCTGAGAGAGAGCAAAACAAATCCGCAAGCAGAGCCTACGGGTTTGCGAGCATATCTGAGACTCAAACAGAGCGCGGTTTGTGCGCGAAGAGAAGGAAGCAAGCGAGAGGAGAAAATATCTGTGCAAGAAGCATTAAATCTGAGAGAAGAAACAAAGATTTGAGAGAGAAGAGAAAATATTTGAGGGAGAGCGCATGTTTTGAGTGTGAGCATTATAAGTTTTGAGAGCAAGAAGATGAAATTCTTTTCTCTAATTGAAGTTATGTGCTCTTGCATTATGGCAGGATAATTCTCCCATATGTGCCACTAAGATACTGTAATTAGAGAGCAGTAGTGAAACTTCGATATTTTATTTTCATGGCCTAGTTTACCTGACAGGATGTTTACATAAATCTGTTTTTAGGCTGTGCACAGATAACATTTTTTATGGAGGAACAGCTCTACCGTATATAAAATAAATACATAAATAAATAAATGCTCAATAAATAAATAAATAAGCATTTAATTATTGCCTCCAAAAATACAATGAATAAATATGTAGGTAGAAATTAAATTATATGGTGAGACATATATATATATATATATATATATATATATATATATATATATATATATATATATATATATATATATATATATATGTGTGTATCTCTTAATTAGCTTCTTTATTTTTTCACCTTCTTTTGTAAACAGTTTTGTTTGTTACTTGAATCAACTGTTTAATTGAGGTCTTTTGTAGGGTTTTGTTTTCCCTAGAGATGTCCATTGAATGCAAACTCATAGCCATGTCTCCATGTGTAGAACACTACACAGTAACTTTAATTTGGTTCTAATAACAGCAGATTGTTTACTAGTTTGTCTACTAGTAATTACTTTAGTTTTTATTTTAATATGCTGATCATAAAGCAATGTTTACACTGTGTTATGTCATTGGCTGATCTTTAATAAATATTTTAACCAGTGCATCAGACTCATTTTGAATTGACATTAGGTTGGTACAACATTAAGTAGCTTCTGATGTAGTTAAGCTACTTTTAACACATTAGTGTAACTTAGCTTGCTATAATTCTTTAGGTGGTAGCTTTTGTGTAGTGAAGCTTAATTTATTATTGAGTAACTGATAGCTTAGCTCACTACAATGGACAAGTAGCTTGCCCAACACTGCAAACAGCAAAGGACTTGGTAGCTCAGATTTTCCATTTTTCCCTCTCATTTGATTAATGAGTAAAAATGTTCCTTCTCCAGAGCAGGAGGCAGGAAAATGTTCGCAGAGATAAAAAATATATATAGATAGAAGTTATATCTGCAGTCATTTTAGAAGCTTGGTATCCAGTTTTTAGAAAAAAAAACAAGACATCTAACTAACTTTGTCTAGGATGCAATATATCCCATTTTTATAGAACATTATTGTTTAGTTAAAAAGCAGATGGCTTAAAGCCATGATACTTATGTTGCTTCCTTTGTTTTACTAGGGGGAGTGGCAGCCAAGTGGTTAGGGCCTAGAGCTTGGAATCCTGAGGTTCTGAGTTTGAGCCCCACTCCCACAGACTGTCACTCAGGATTTCTAAGCAAGACCCTTAACCCCACACGGCTCCACAGGTGCCACACAATGGCAGCCCACTGCTCCCCAAGGGGATGGGTTAAATGCAGAGGTTAATTTCTTCAATTTGAGATCAATAAATTTTAATTATTGTTATCCTGAAAAAAAATATTCTTTCACATTCAAAAGTATTAACACCTTTTGAACCACAAACCAGTATATTTCACTTGGTTGGTTTTGATAGACTAACTGAAAGTAATGGATAATTGTAAAGTGGAAGGAAAACCAGCTTCTCAAATCCATCTGAAGAGTAAAAAACGTGGGTTGCAGCATTATGCTCCGGGCATGCCATATGCAGAGTAATACACGCATGGTGCTGAACTTTGATCAAAAGTCATACGTACCCCCCTTCACACTGTTACAGAGGTTATCACTAAGAGTATCCACAATGTCCAGAAGGAAGGAGAAATCCGCCACGTTGTACATGTGAATTTCATCTGGATCGGAAGCGATGGATCGCAACTCATTCTCATCTGCGTTCTTCACACCTAAAAATTATAAGTCAATGCTAATTAGTATGTGTTCTACTCAGTTGTGTTTGTAAAGGCTGACGGAGATCAGGCTCACTTACCAATGGCATATAGTTCAATGCCCTGCTCACGCAGGCTCTGTGAGTGAACGATGACATCGTCCTGGGATTTTCCATCGGTAACCAACACACCAATCTTACGGGCACTAGGTCGCATCCCAACGCTTTCTTTGAAATTGTTCTGGAGGATATAGTTAAGAGCCATACCTGCAGACAAAATATGGCAATGCTTTTACCACAAATTGACACTGCTTTCGGTAAATCCCTACACATTTGGTTGGATTGATGTATTTCTTTAGAGGTGACAAGGCCTGAAGTACCGGTCATGGTGTTTCCTCCTTTGTAAGGAAGTTTATTCACAGCCTCCAGGAGCGAGTCCCGTGTCTGATAAGCATTCAGGTGCCATTCAGTCTTTGGGTCCCCACTATACTGTGCAAGACCTTAGGATATAACAAAAAAAACCTGTGTTAGACTAATAGGTCTCATAAAATGTTGAATTTGAAATAAAGTTTTTGAGCAACCCACCAATCTGAACCCGATCAGGACCAATGTCAAAGACTCCCACCATGCGAGCAATGAAGGCTCGAATGGTCTTGAAGTTAAGCCGTCCAATACTCCAGGAGCCGTCCACCAGCAGCACAATGTCAGCCTGTGCAGTGGTCTTACACATTTTGTCTGACGTTTTGTAAGAAAACAATGATAGAAAAATTAAAATAAGGTGCAATAAAGCAGTGAACCATAATAAAAATGATGTCTGTGATGGAATTTGATAATGAGAGAGGCAGTGGAGAAAATATAGGCCATAAAGAAGGAATGAAAGGATAAAAGAGGGGAAATTTAACCTAAGCATTTCAACAAATGAAAATGAAAACATCATTTAGAAAACATTCGGAGGGACTTTTTCATAGTTTTTTCCAGTAGTTTATGCCAGATGTTCCAGGTGGTATAATTATCATCATTCCAGCAGCATGTTGTTAGGGAAATATTTTTCACAGTTGTGCTTTTGGACATCCATGAGCAAGTCCCACAGGAAGATTATGTTGTTAATGGCCCCTGACATATCAAAGGCCTCCAAAGGACAGAGTAATGTGCTCCTCCAGAGAAGCACCGTAATATTTACATCCTGCTTTTAACACCTGTATGATGACAACAAAGGTATCTGATCGTCTGTGCCAAAAGAAGAATGCAGATGTGCTTTGGTAATAGTCAGATGTTGCACTAACTGCCACTTGCTGCAACTGAAAGCAGGTTACATATGCATTTGATTTACAGACTGGTTTTCACAAAACACAAGCATCTGTTACCTGTAAAGATGCAAAAAAGTTTTAAAAACAGAATATTTCTGAAATTCTGACACGTTATAGAAAACAAGAAAATTATACAAATTTCTTATGCTATTGTGATCAAAACTGATACAACAAACAAACAGGGATAATTTTTTTTTCCTTGCTAATATTATAGCTATTTCAATTTAGTTTTATTTAGCATATTTAACATATTTTATTTGTGCATATCCTCCTTTATAGAATAATATAAAAAGTCTCCTAATATGAGAATATCTAATGGAGTTAGACTACATAGATGAAGACAGTGGCTGTTTCTCAATACGTGTACTTGTGTGTTCTCATGTGCTCGTGTACTCGTGAAACGGCATCAGCCTCAAATCACAAGAACACCTTGTGAAAAAAAAAAAAGCTGCAATAAGATAAGGTCAGAGATGAAGACCGAGAACGGGCAAAGTCCCCGAATGTTGTTCTCGCCCTCCCTCTTTACCAATGCATCAAAGCAGACTTGTCCGTTCTCAAGATTTGTTGGCTGTCCCACCATGCACTGTGGCAGCAGCTTCGAGGGGTGCGCTCACAGAGCTCAGAGTATTAAGTTAAAAGTTCTCTTTTCTGTTGTCGTTGTTCAATAAAACTACTTTTAAGATCAATTGAGGTGAGAACATTATAGTTTTAAACTTCCCTATACTGCCCATTTAATGTTTTAGTCCATAATTTAAAAAAGGTTCCGGTGTTGAGAGGACCGCGGCAACCAGCGAACTTCTGAGGGTAACGGCAGCCAGGGCTAATTTTGCACCGTCTGCAGCAGCCCTTTCTCGGCATAGCTGTGTCTCAAGTACTGCAGGCTCGGATGGCGATTTTTTTATTTATTTGGCAAAATGTTAATTTGATTTGTGTTTATCTGACTGTGTTCATTATTATTAATGAAAAAGATAACAATGTATTATTATCTAGAGACTATTAATATTAGATGAAATGGAGATGAGTCGAGCGTGTGGTGCCATCACAAGTACAATTCTGTTCCAATTGAGCCATATTTATGCTGCGTGCTCCCGTTCTCCCCGAGTCCACACTTTCCTGGGTTCTTCTCAAAAACATACTTGGCTAGAACACGAGTCCATACTCACATCTTTGTGAATTAACAAATGGCCAGTGTATATCCTTATGAAAATGTTCCTCTCTGCTCATAATTGTCAATGGATACACAAGCAGATTGTCGCCATGTTTAAACTATTTTGGGGTTGGACTATAACAAAAAAGATGAACCCCTAAGTATTTTACAAAATACCGAAAACATTGGAACATACTTAATATTACGAAAGTTAAAGATAAGCTTCTGTCACATCTACATTCTGTTTGCCTCTGCAGTGAACTTTTTCTGAATCTGCATATCTCCTTAAAAGGAACAAGAAGTCCAACTGACCTTTAGAGTTCTCTTCAGCAAACCACAACATTTTTCTTCCTCTCACACTTACTGTGTGCCACTCTGACTCACTAAGCTGTAAAATCTTTTATGTCTTCAGCCAGGTTATATGTGCATGGCTCGTATTGCACAGCCTGTACTTGGGCTAGTAAGAACTAAAGGCACCAAAGTGATGTAAACAAAAGAAAAAGTCCAGACTAATGAGTCTGCCATTACATCTGTGTAGCATGAGGTATTAAGAATGGTATTAAGAGAACCTCTTTGTCTTTTACAGGACGTGTGTTTGCAGGGTGCGTATCTAAGAAAAACTTTATAGCGTCCAGTGTTTGACTCTTGCTGCAAAAAAACCAAACAGTGAAGAGAATACCTTATACGATGACAGACACAATCCCTTGCAAAGATTTCTAAGCAACTTGAACTGTTTCACGTTTTCTCATATCACAACCATAAATCTCTTTGTATTTCATTGGGGTTTGATGCGATCCATCTCCAAAAAAGTAGTCCATGATTGTAAAGTGGAATGAGAAAAAGGTGTGATGTATTTTTTCCAAAAGATTTAAGGAGTGGGATGAATTTGGCTATTTAGGGAGGCAAATGCATACAATGAAGTTTCTCTGCTATTACAGCTGCAAGTCTTTTAGAGTATTTATCACCTTTGCTTAACTAGATTTAGATTTTTCTCCATTAGTCTAAGGAATTTTGCTCTAAATTGAATCAACTGGATATACATTTTAAGTCTTCCAAAAAACTCTTAATTGGAGCCAGTTTTGAAATTTCAATCGGCTTTTCTAACATATAGAATTAATTTAAATCATTCCATTGGATTTGTGTTTAAGGTAATCCTTCTGAAACATGAACTTCAGCTCCAGCCTGAAAGCTTTTGCAGCCTTAGAGGCTTTTTTGCCAGATTTTTCTCCATCAATTTTTTCTGTAAACTCTTGTCATCCTCTCTGTCCTCCTTAAAAAAAATAAAATAAAATAAAAAACCTGTAAGGCCATAATTTTACCTTTTTAGTGTCTAGGTTTTCTTCCTCAGGCCAGCTTTCCTCCAATTCCTCCCAATCAGAGCACATTTTCTACATGTTTGCAATGATTTGAGAGAAACTACAAACGAATCAGCATTTTGTATGGCAGCTTCACCTTTCCTAAATGTTTCTAATCTGAATGGTCAGTTTAAGAAGTTTGGCCGTTTCTTTTTTAGATTTAAAAATGTTCCATCCATTAAAGCTTGGAACATCATTTTTACTTTTTAATTGTTTACAACTTTACTCTTGACTTGTCTGTTGTTTGCCTTGGTCTTAATTACTAATTTATGGTCTTACAGCAAAAGAGTAAATACTGAATACATTGGCTCCTTTAATCTTTTTTTATATTGATTTGTTTTTTTTGTTTTGTTTTTTCTGTGTCCTGTTTTGCCAACATAACTCTGGGAATTTAAGCCACGGAACCAGATGGTAGCCCAACAAATTTGCCTCCACAAGTAGACCATTAGAGTTGCTGCCATATGGTCCAGCTTGGTAATTATATGTGAAGCTTAGATATAGTTTAGGGAATTAGATCATGGGAAACGAGTTAACAAAATGGAGAGGGGAATGAAAAATCAAGAGAACAGAGAAAGAAAAAATGAGAAAAAACACAAAATATGCAGCATATCCTTGAAGTCGGCTTCTACACCTGCATCAAATGAGAGAAAAAGAAAACAGAGAACAAAAAAAGAACAAACAAAAACTAGATACAGGAAGAGCGAGTATCCCATAGACACCATATAACGGTATATATAAATCAAAACTCATGCTATTTACACAGTATTGTTTAAAGCTGTATATATCTGTAGCTGCAGCTTAGTATTTAGTATGAGTGTGTATTCGTGGACACCTGGAACTAAATGCCGGTGGAATTCATGCATGCATATTCATTTGCATAATAGGTTTACAAGGCTTCTTCAGAAGGAGAATATGCTCAATAGCAGGTTTGAGTGGCCCCAGACTCGCCCTGCAGAGCCAACATAGAGTCAACAAAGAGTCAACCAGAGCCCTAGATATCTAAAGGATCACCTGATTACAGGGACATAGAAAGGGTAGACATGATAATGATTTCTAAAAAAAACTTTAGAACCCTGTCTTCATTTTCTAAGCTACTTCACAAGTATGCACTACTTGTTGTTGATCCATCACATGAAATAAAAGCAAAACAAAAAAAACAAATGGTTGTGATATGAAAAAAATGTAAAAGCAAGACAGACAAAAAATATTTTACAAGGTGCCATGTACTAATTATACCCCTGGGCAAATTTCAATTGCTTATATTATAGTTTTAACATCCAATCTTTTGAATGACACAACAAAATAATTCATTCAAATTATATCTTGTATTTTTAAATATTCTTAAGCAACTTTACTTGGTCCATCAAATGTTGGAGGATCAGGTGCATCAGAGTAAGTTGTGTTCTCTTCTCCAGCTAGTGGCATACTCTCTCCTCCATCAAACATACCAAACACACTCACTGTGTATTTAGTTCCAGCTCTGTGAACCAAAGCACAAAAAATCTAATTACAACAAAAAGGAATATGGTGTAGAAGTATGTATAGTGCTTCAAATTAGTTGAAAATCTCTATATGGAGAAGTTAGATACACACCTGAGCTCCTCCAGCACAACGGTATTGTCAAAGGGACCAACCAAAAGTTCTCTCAGGTCAATATCATCCTCCGCAGGGTGAAACGTGACTTTGTAGCCCTTAACCTCACCGGGAGCCGGGTCCCAAGTCACTCTGAAACTTGTCTTTGTTGGCTCAGAAGTCTGGAGATTCCTTGGACCTTTGTAAGGTGACACTAGATAGAGGAAGAGAAATGAATGTCTGCAAACATGTAAATCAACTCAATAAAATAAAGCAAAAAAGTGTAACATACATGTTCTTCCTTCTCCTTCCCTTGTCTTTCCTTCTCCAAAACTATAGATTGGGACAACTGTGAGGTCATAGGTTGTTTGAGGGGTAAGGCGTCTCAGAACAGTGGAGGTGGTGCCCCCAGGGACTTTGGCTGCTAGCTGGCGTCCACCTTGCTGTGGTCTGTAGGTAATGCGGTAGTTGACCACATTTCCGGGCGCAGGCTGCCATGTAACTTTCATGGTCTTTTCTGTCTCGTCCGAAACAGTAAGTGTTTTGCCAGCGGCTGAGACTGCAAGTAAGGAAATAAAGCATTGATGAAAGGGCCAAAATGATTCATGGTGAATTATTAGTCTTAGGAAAAAGTAATTTGGAGTTTTTTCCATTGAGCACCAAGGGCAAAACGTGAACTTAAAACCATCTTGTTCACAAGATACATTTTGAAATAAAGCAGCATGGCTTTCCTGTTGTGAACCAACTATGCATAACTGAATAACATAAAGTCAATTTTCACATGTGTCCAAATATATACAGACTGAGATCTTTCAGACTATGACTATTATTAGACTATTATTTCAACTAAGTATACTTTTTTTTCATACATTAAACAAAGCCACATTTTAATGACCAGGTTTAAGTGATAGCTTTGTAAGCAGGCTTGGATTTTGTGTTTGTAGTTCATATTTTTCCAGTGTGAAAAAAAAAAAAATAGTTTAAATGGTCAGAGGTTTGAAAACAAGCTGAGGAAAATATTCAGAATGTTTTATTTCAGTGGGAGGATTTTTATTAATGGAAAAAAAGCTGCAAATCCAAGTTTGCCATGTGTTGCTCAGCCCGAAGAGACCTAAGATTTATGTAAAGGCTCGAGAAAATAAATCAGCAGATGGAGGTGCAAATTCAAGAAATTGACTGTTCAGGTCAACAGTGCTGCCTCACTGTTGCTTTTGGCGTATACCGCCTTTAAAGATGATCAGTAAAAAAGAAACACGCACATTCCATTTTATTAACTGGTGGAAAAATTCCTCCCAACTGGAACCAGTTTCCATCTACTGTGCTTTTCCCATTCAAGCATGATTATAGTCTAACAAGAATAAAAGGAAAGTGTCCTTTGGTTCTGAATGTCTCACGAAACCTGTGTGCAGGTGTCCTAGACTTTAAATCAACCCTACATTTAAACATAAAAATGCACCTCATGAAGTTATAACATTGAATTACATAAACAAAAGATGTTTATTTTTCTACAGGAAACCCCGAAAAAACTAGAAAGCCTAACATGAGATGTGAAGGTTTACAGACTTGGTAGGAAGGAGATATCTAAAGAGAAAACTTACTATCAGTCGTTTCTTCTCCAACCAGTGGTTGGCCCTCTCCATGACCATAGACAGCGATTACAGACACCTCATAGCGGGTCTCTGGGGTTAGACCGTCCAGGATGGTAGCTGTGGTGCCCCCATTGGTTCTCTTTTCTCCCGTCTCGTCACTGAACAGGGATTTCCAAATAACCCGGTACTGCCGAACATTTCCCGGGGCAGCAGCCCAAGAGACTGCAAAACTGGTGTCAGTGACATCTCTAGTGACTAAATCTCTGGGTGATCCAAGTTCTGTGGAGAGATTGATAACAAGTAAAGGTAAGAAATTATATATATATGTTTTTGAAACAAAATAGTAGAAGCTCCAGGAGTACTTCTTTGGAAAAATCTAAATTAAATTGGTTAAACTGAAAAACCATTGGTTTACAGCAGCTGATATTTGTAAAAGGGTTCAAAAATCTTTAAAATGGAAGATTGGGGATTTTAGAGTCAGGCTTATTTAAGCAGCTTATCCAGATTATTTGTTCCAGAAGTTACCATGATGGCTGCTAGCATGAGAGCTGGACTTTAAACTTAACTCTTACTTTCTTTCAAGCAACGCTTTATCTAATCCATGTTTTAGAAGCACCCAAGCAAACTGTTTTTTGAAAAGAAAGTTAGGATTTTTATAAGAATTGTTTTACAATTTAGTTTTTTTTCTTCAGAAAAGGGGACAAGAAATGCCCCAAACAAGTCTCTAGACCAGTGATGTTTTTGTGTCAAACCCAGATCTTCAAACCCTATTTAATTCATTTCAATTCAGTTTATTTATATAGCACCAATTTAGAACACGTCATTTTAAGGCTCTGTACAGAGACTATTCAACCAGATGAAACAATCAGTTTTTGTGTCTAAGGAAAAGCAGCTGATTGCAATGACTCATTGACTTGAAGGCAATCCCTCACACAAGCACGCTTGTAGCGACAGTGGAGAGGAAGAACCTCCTTTGAACAGGAAGACACCTCCAGCACAACGAGACTCAGTGTGAGCGGCCATCTGCAGAGGCCGACTGGGGTTCAACACAGCACACCAGTGTCCTGAAGTCTCTGTTCAGCAAACATTATCAGATGTCCCGATTTTCTGACTGGTTATTTGTCTCTCTGGCCAAATCTTTATGTCTTGGACTGATAGAACATTGTTCGTCATCTTACCATATCACATTAAAGAGAAAGTCAATTCTTAGTGTTTGAAAGGTATGTGTAAGATTATACTACCATGCTAAATTTAATTTGGCAGCAGCTGAATCTTGATAAACTGATTCTAGACCCATGAGGATCATTCCCCAACCATAACAAGATGTATAAATGAACCGAAATGAAGAAACTCTGCAGTGCATTGGCAAAATCCAAATTCGTGAGGTTTACTATAAGTGATGAGCTGCAGTTAACTCTTAAATAATTATAATAATTTTACAGAGCTTCACTTCAAAAATCCACACTATCCCTCTTATAGCTTAAAAAATCTTAACAGGGCCCCCGTTCCAAATCTATCAAAGGGAACTATCCCTTTAAGAATGATTTCTTTATCAAGCAGGGACTGGTTTCTTATATAGACATCTTGTTATTTGAAGAAGTGAACAAAACACAAGCTAGACAGGAGGAGCAGTCTCAGCAATAAACCACCACCACTAATCTGTCTCCACTTTAACCCCTCAGGATGCGTTTGAGCAACTTGATTTTCTGCATGCCTCCTGGAAAAAGTTCTGCAAAACTCATTGCAAATCATATAACCCCCAGAATCTCCCCCCTGCACAAGTTGAATTTTCCACTGAAACAGAGGAAATGAGTCCCACAAAGTGTGTTTTCTATAGTTGCAGATGTTGTGCGAACCCCGCTGTTTTTGCTCACTTTTCCTGTGGGACCAGTGTGAAAGGAGAAACACAAGGAAATGCAGAGGAGGGGATTTTATGATGGACAGCCACGACATGCTTGGCTGAGAGGGAAACTCATGTTGAGGTGGATCTGTCTGGCTGGCATAAAGTGATGGATTAACCACAGGAAGATGGGCTGTAGCACATAGACTCCCACACATCCTTAGGGATACTGATCCTAGAGCCCAAAAGGCCCGCAGCTATGGTAATATAATCACATGCACAGCAGAGCTTCAAGCATGGTGGTCCAAATCAAACCTCATTCATCAAACTCAATAAAACAAGGCAAGATAAATAACACAACATAAGGAATGAGCTGCAGCATTAATTAACGATAAAAGAAGTTTATAATGTTTCCCGTTTGTGAAGTCACAATACAGGCACCTTAGACTCCGTGCGAGCATCTATTAACTGCTACTGGAACCCCCATGGTGATCATCTCTTTGATGACAAAGCAGATCAATTCCCATCTTAACAGCAGCAGATAATTCAAAAATGACCGCCAATGCCAGAGGCTAATGAAGAGTTCCAGATTTTGGAGAGCTATGAAAAAGCACAGACCTCTTACTAACAGATTCAAGATCGAACCAAAGATTTATCTTCACAAGCAGAGAAAGCCGGATGAAACTGACTGACTTTTCCAGCAGTGTTGTGAATTGTAGCATGAAAAGATCACAAGATAATGACTTCTGCAGACGGTGGCTCAGGTTTTTTCTATACTTACAGAGAAACTCAAGAGCAGCCGCCACTCCATCACGCAAAGCCCCCTTTAACAAAGCACATGGTCCACAGACGCTTCCGAAGTTTACAGTCAAGCTCTGAACATTCATTCATTATCCGTCAGTTTTTCAAGTGTGTTTGGTTCAAAGAAAACATGTTTAGTGTACGTGTTGCTTGGTTGTGTACATCGATAATTATAACAGGGAAAGGATTACAGCAGTTTTTTCTCAGCATCTTTACAAATTGTTTAATCTGTGAAGTCAAAGAACATTTCAGTCAGGCTTTTGAGAAAACATCAGTGTTGAGGATAATCTAGAATAACATCAGGACCATCTGCTGAAATTATGTTGGCCACCTATTTGCTACAAAACAGCCCTGACTGTCTGAGACTTGGTCTCTGCTGTAGTTTTGATGGTGTGCTGTACTCTTTGGCACTGAGATGTCAGGAGCCAGAACATTAATTAATCTTTGGCTTTGGTGGATTGAGGTTTTATTAGTCAAAATGAAAACCCAAACTTGTTGTGCTTTTCAAACTATTCCTACTGATGTTTTGTGATAGCGTCTATAACCCACAAACACCAGAGTACAGAAGCTGCCATTCAAAACGACCCTTCCCAGTCAAACACCAGCCGAATGACAGCCCACTTCCCTGTAACTCCCAGCAAAGTTCCCTCCAACTTCCAGCCACTGGAGTGACCCCCTCCTTCTCCTTGGCGTGCATATTTTTATACTCTGACTCCACCCTTTCACTGAATTACAGGGTCTGACCAGGAGATGACGTTTCTCTTTAGATCTTAATGTCCACAAATCATGACAAAAAGAATAATTTAGTACAAAGATTTATGTTTAAAAAGGAATTTTAGGGGACTAGATCACAAAGAATTCACAAATACAAGAAAAGATGAAAATTATTTCTTAGCTGTCAATGAGTGGATGCAGTCAACTGGCTTTCCTTAGATAAAAAAAACTTTGAATCAGTTTGACTGTATGACCTGGTTAAATTGTAAAGTGCCTTGAGATGAAGTGTTGTGAATTGGCACTATATAAATAAACTGAATTGAATTGAACCAGCCAAGGGCCTATCAAGGAAAGTTGGGACATTTTGAATGGCTACTACTGTATCTCAAAACCAACATGACCCTTTTAATTAGATTGGGCAGCAATAGCTCAGGTTCTGAATCAGACAACCGTCAAGCCAACATACATAAATTCCCATGACTGCTTTGTCAGTTCAATTCAATTCAGTTTATTTATTAAGCGCCAATTCACAAAAAAATGTAATCTCCAGGCACTTTACAGAGATACTTAAATTAGATCATAAAGTCAAATTGATTCAATTCAGTTTATTTATATAGCGCCAATTCACAACAACTCATCTCAAGGTACTTTACAATTCAACAAGATCATACAGCCAAATTGATTCAAAGTTTTCTATCTAAGGAAAAACCCCTTTTAACAGGAAGAAACCTCCACCAGGCTCAGTGTGAGTGGCCATCTGCCGAGGCCGACTGGGGTTCAAGGAGACAGAAGCAGACATACAGAAAGAATGATTCAAAGTTTTCTATCTAAGGAGAAAGAAAACTCATGGCAAAAACCAGTGGATTAAACGGCGATTCTTCCTTATGCTGTTTTTGATGCTAAGCCATCTAGGAATCACAATTGTTCCATGGTTGCCAGCTGCCCCTTAAAGAATAGAACTTTCCCGTTTTAAGAAGCAAAATTAGGTGTCTGATGTAATGCAGGTTTGATCTAAATGTTTACAAAATGAATTCAGAAATGCAAGAAAAGAAAGACAAGAAGATTATTTCATAATGTCCGTAGGGTGGAATTATTTAATCTTCACAGAGTTGCCAACCTTAGTTGTTTTCTTCCTGATGAATATAGCCACCCCCCCCCCCCACACACACACACACTTACATATGCACTGATAGAAATAATCCATATATTCTGATTTACCCTTCAGTGATCTTATTGCTGTCTAACTAGTATTTATGAATAGATGTCAATTGAAAAGCCTAGAACAAACAACTAAATGCCTTTTCCTGCAGTAATTGGGATGACATAATTTTGTCTTTGACACAAATTGCTACCATAAACTTAGAGTCAAAGAAAAAAGAAATGACACTTAAGCACATGGTACCAAAGTCTTCAAGGCTGCAAAAGACCAGAATTTGTCTTTTTTTGAAGCTCAGAATTGGCATTATGTACCCTTTTGTTCCTTAATAGAGCAGTTTTTGATGAATTCAAAGATTCCATTGAACTCAGACTATTTTCCACCAACCGACTCAAAATGACTCCTGGAAAAGTAATGTTTTGCCATCTTAGCGCTGTCACCTTATTTTATTTCTCTTGGTTCACTTAAACATGCACATAAACCACATGGATGATGTCTCTAAGCCAAAGCTGTCTGTCCCAGGATATACTTCACAGGATCCTCTCAACGGTGGAAAAACAAACAATGTGACAATACCAATGAAAAAGTGTTGAAATGTTTAAAATGGTGCCAAGGATATTAACCTATGCAATTCTGCAAGCTTGAACTTGTACATACCATTCCCACCCATTCTAATAGATAAAAATTTCTGGCACTGACTGGGATCCCAATTTACTGTCCTAAAATTTCAACACATCTATTTTTGCAGCATGTGCAGCTTATTCAGCTGTACATTAATAAAGGGAATATCTCATTTAAAATGTGCTGTGCTGTATTGACAGTTTGTGACACTACAGACCACCAATGACAAGTTAACTCAATCTCATGTTCAATAGTCCACTTAGAGATTATATCAGCTTTGCCACGTGGTTAAATATCCTTCTTAAAACAGTCATCAGAAGAGATTTACAGTAGCAACAACAATCAAGTTTCATGTGGTATTTAAACAATCTTAAATCAGGATGTAAATAGGACTTATTACAATAAGCAATTATGTTTTTGGCCAGTTAAGGGGAGCTTATGCTAATTTTATTCTTTTCAATTAAGAGGTGTAGAACTCAGTAAGGTCCTCTGCTGCTGTAGCCCATCTGATTCAAGGTTCAATTTGTTATGTATAAAAATATAGTGTTCAAAACCATGTACAATGTTTTTCTGTTTGCTTAACAACCACCTCCTTTTGGGAAATTCTCGCCTATTTTGCATACCCAAATGGATAAGCAAATAACTTATAATTATTATAGATTATAATTACAGTACCTTAATTAATAAGGAACTGTAAACCCAAATAACATGTGTAATATATTATTTGAAAGCTAACACTTTCGAGTTTCTGAATGAAAATTGGTTGAGTAAAACACAGCCCAAGCTGCATCAGCTCAAACATGACTCAAAGTAGATTGTTTTTTTATCCTCAAAAATAATAGGTGTTTTTTGAACAGCAGTAATAACGACATGCTTGCTTTTTGTGGCTGCCTTATCATGTTTACATTTTGACATGCTGCTACATCTGTGTTAATAACTAAGTTAATAAAATTAACTTAGTGTTTGAATTGTGGCAAATCTAAGCTTTCCAACGATGTCCAACATGTGTATATTGGTAAACATTTGACAGGTGTAATTTTCATGCATTCTGAGTAATTAGTTTTAAACACTAAAAATGGCGGGTTTTGAAAGGTTAAAACAATCTGTGCAAAAATGAGAGATGGATTTGCATAAATTCCCAGTTTCTCACGAACCTAATTGAAGTTTATCAAGCACGCCATGTTTGAGGTTCAGCTGCTTGTTTTCACCACACCTAGATGCATGTATGGTAAATGGAAATGGAATGCAATGAGTTGCTAGCATGCAATCGGCTGAGCAACCATTTGCATGCAACTAAGTATGAATCTGTGTTATAAATTACAGCTTTCTAGGTATCAAGTGAAATATGGTTTCAGAGTGACAATGTCGTTATGTCCTTGGGCAAGACACTACATCTACATTGCATGCTGATGGTGGTCAGAGGGCCCAGTGGCGCCAGTGTACAGCAGACCCACTTCTGTCTGTGAGCCCCAGGGCAAGTGTGGTTACAATTTAGTTTGCCACCATCACTGTGTGCCTGAATGGGTGAATGACTGAATGTAGTGTAAAGTGCTTTGTCCAAGTCTCTTGACTTGTACAGGCCATTTACCATTTCAGCTTTGTTGCCCTAAATGTGGAACAATATGAGGTCTTAATAAGCTTTGGACCCACCCCAACAGCCTGAGGCATTGTACTTCACATTATGAAATAACATTATTTCCTCTCACCTTCAGCCTGTGTCTCTGCCTGTGTTTTGCCCCACCCTTGAGGAAGATGAATAGACAGTCTTCCTTCAGACGAAAGACAGCTCACCCACCATTTAAGGAAAGGTTAGGTAACATCTTCCATATGTGGAATAAAGCTCCAAATTCTTAAGTAAATAATTTCACCATGCCTCTGTATAAAATATACGTTTGGGATGTCCAACTAGCCCTCCTACTGACACCCTCTGTGTGCTCCAGCTGAGTCCTCTCAGGATGTTTTTGTCCAGCTCAAGGCTCCTGTCTTGGCAAGTGCCTCTTGGTGGACACAAGGGAGGTCTCTGTGCAAGCCTTTGAGTCTTTGCCTACACAGACTTCACAGAGTTGGTCAAGCAAATCCCAGCATACAACACAGTTAGGTTATTGTTGTGGAATGACAGCTTTATAGCTTTAGGTGGGTAATAAAAGTGCTTTCTCAGCAAGGCCTTTAGTGAGGGGGTGTGTAGCTGATGAGAGCACCGATTTAATCTTTATCTGTAATTGAAAGCACTTACTTTGATTTATTTTGGAAACAAGAGCTCTTTAAGGATAATTACATTTTTTCGTGTCATTAGATTATTTTTTTTTATTACATCAAGCAAACTTTGGTTATGGTTCATTGCAACCACAACACAGTTTGATGACACTTATGATGACAAATTAACTAAATTTTCCTGTAATTTTAGTCTTTTTCTGATCATTAAGCACCTTTAAAAGGAGTGCCAAATTTAAATCAGGTCATCCTAATTGTTTGCCCATTATTGTTTAGTAGGGCCTAAAACAATAGTCCTCACCTAATCATAAGCAAGTCATATGACTTCAAGCCAACCAAATAAGTTTTTATTACAGCCTAATTCAGTAATTGATGTTAAGCTTCGAGCTCAGAGTACTATGGTCAAGGAAGCATCCTACTTAAAATTATTGAGCAGATGATTTAGATTTAAGATCCAATTTACCAACACTGCAACTCACAGTGCAACAAGCCGAAAAAAGATATCCTCTGCTATACAAAGCATTTTGTTGATGTCCTTTCCAGCCTTGCCCCTGTTTAGCTCTGTCTCTCCGACCTTTCTTTCCTGTGGTGCGAAACAACAACAATCTGCTCTACATGAGATGAACAGAACACCAAGCTACCATTGCCACATGATCAACTTAGCTGAAAGCTGGCCTGCAGCTGCTGCACTCTGAGTTGTGTCCAAAGGGAAGTAACTAATCCGCAGTAATTAGTTATGTTCAGAGTGGAATGGTATTTTGCAGCAACAGAATATCCTAAATATTTGAGAAGCTTCCATTATTCAATAAGTCACTCATTCCATAAAGGCAAAGGTATAAAAACACTACCGGAAAAATGGGGCTTAGGTCAAATTCAAGTCGTTCCATATGTTTTCAGGGCGTAAAAGTTTTCCAAATTCTGTAACTCTCACTTCCTTTATGAGCAGCAAAGCTACCCAAACCAACCATTTTTGCCAAAAGGATGACATTGAGTTCCACGTTATTTCCTCTTTTCAAAAACGTGTACAAAATAGATTTTGATTATAAGTCCAACTCAGTGTCTTGTTTAAATATTGATTTTTTTCTCCGTTTTTTTCTTATTACAACCAGAACCTGTAACATGCTGGTGAAGATGCTTGCAAAGCTTATCTCATTGGCTAACAAAATATGTGAATCAAAGTTTCATTGGTCACTTAGTTGTGGAGTTCTAAGATGCTGTTTCTTAGGTGAAGGATGTTTTCATTGTACTCTGGATACTGAGAAAGGAACTTATACAAGATTTTGGGAGCAGTTTGGTGAATAAGGGCCAAGTAACACACAAAAGATATTGCTTCTATTTTCACTTTGCCATGGAAAAAAAAAATCTTTAGTTGATTGTTTTGACTCGGGATTTTATTTTCATAGGAAATACAACAGAATATTAATTTTCTGTAGCCTCTTTATGCCATGATAGAATGTGTTTAGGAATCCCAGAAGATGAAAACAAAGTAAGAAGTGAAAAACATAAGTTGTAATTTGATGACAGATTGTAGGTTATCTGTGTTTGTCGAGTATAATTTGCCTACAATTGAGTTGATGGTCATTTTCTTTAGGATACCCTTATTCTAAAGAGGTATAACATGTTGGGTTCTATTTACAAATTAGCTTGCTGTTAGATGCAAAACAAAATGTGACATCAAAAACGTCCCGGGGCCAGGCAGTGGGAGCTAAGGAGTCTGCATGTTGTTGATCTTCTAAACCAGGGGTAACGAATTAAACATCAGTGGGGTCCAAATAAAGACAGTCAACAATCAGTAAAGGTCCGAAGAGATGTTTAATTATAATCTGTTACTTTAAACAGAATTTAACACTGAAATGAAATTAGGTTTTTATGCATCCATGTTATACATTGACTTTTTAAATTAAAAATATTTTTAAAATGTTTAAAATTTTTACAGTGTTTTTTGAAGTAGAGAACCACAATTGTTCAGTTTGCTATATAGACAATTTCCTGATTCACATATTTTATAAAACACCTGAACTGACCGTTTGTTTGGGGTTTTTTCTTTTTTATGGCTTGTGGGCTTCAGGCTGACCCGCAATGCTTTAAACCTGGGTTTGAGTAGAGACAAAGCCATTCTCAAGCACATATCAAGGTGCTCATTTTGAATTCAATATTTATTTTTTATTATGTTCACGATGCAGAACCCTGCTTCACAGAAGTAGTTTGAGCCAAACATAATCAAAATGTGCAGGGTCATCTCTGAGCACGCCATTGCACATATCTGTCACCAGTTCACTGCGCTTCTCCCAGCAGTCTACACTTTCTTTCACGTTTTCTGATCATCATTACCTATCGCCCGGCTTGCCACAGGTTTGCTTGCTGTGTCTAAAAGTAGCTAGCGGCAACAGCCCTGACCGACACAGCTCATTGGCTAATATGCATCAAGTGTAGCCTGGTCCCGGAGAGCTTTACCATACAAACAGGACAAGCGGCACAAGTGAAATTAGACACTGCTGTCGGACAGCATAAGGTAACTTATAAATGTTTTAAATCAGGCTGGATCCATATTAGTCAGCATGTGGGTCCGGATCTGGCCAGTGGTCCACTAATCCTTGACCTCTGCTCTAAACCAAGATCTGACCCAACTGAGAACTTACTACAATCATTTTACTATGCTTTAAAGTGTCAAATTAAAGGTTTAGTAAAACTGAGTCTTACCTTCTAAAGTAGTTCCTGTACCCAGAAGAGGATCCCCAAAGCCAGTGGAATAGCGCGCAGTAACAAACAGCTCATATTCAGTGGCTGGTTCGAGGTTCTTCAGCATTGCCTGGGTGGTATCGCCGTTGACAGATATCTCGTTTCTCTCACCTCCTTCTGCTGGTTTATATGCAATGCTGTACTGACGGACATTCCCCGGAGCAGCCTGCCATGCTAGTTTCATTGTTGATATACTTTCATCAAAGACACGAAGATCTCGTGGAGATCCTCTAACTGAAAACAAGAGAGAATAAATTAAGAATCTTCCTCACACTCAGGAGGCAAAAAGTTTACAAAAATATTTCTCAAAAGTTTCACGACTTACTCTCCTTGGTGGTACCATCTACACTTCTTTCATCTCCAATGCCACTTGCATACTCAGGAGATACAGAGACACGGTAAGTGGTGATTGGGAAGAGCTCTTGGAGAACTATGGTAGTTTCTGCTCCAATGGTCTGGGCCTCTAGTATTTCTCCTGTGCCACTTAGAGGAACATAGGACAGACGGTACCTTATCACAGAACCAGGAGCAGCCTGCCATGACACCCTGAAACTGTTTGTTGTTTCTTCTGTCACTCGCAGGTTCCGCACAGAACCTTGCTCTGAAAGGGAAAGCTTCATTAGAAATAAAAATCTTTCCTCCATTCAGAAATCTTAATCCTTATCTTGGTAAACAGCTCACCTTCCAGGGTTGTTTCTTCACCAGTCAAAGGAAAACTGTCTCCTTTATCATACTGAGAATACACGTTGACTTCATAGGTGGTTAATGGATAAAGATTGGGAAGAACGGCTGTGGTCGTGTCACCTGGCACTATCAAGGAAACATAGTCTCCAGTGAAATCTTCGGCTTTGCGGAAGAGCACAAGGTAAGACAAAACAGCAGCAGCAGGAGCTGTCCAAGTAGATCTGAAGCTTCCAGAGGTGATATCAGAGAATCGTAAATCTTGAGGAGGAAGGAGACCTGCCGGAATAGAGTATTCGATTTTAAAAGACAGTACAGGTGCAGTAATTTAAAAGCAAAGGGACTTTCTAATTCTTTAATTAGACATTCTACACAATCTTACTTTTCTTTTTGATCTTTAAAAGTTCCTGTTCAATCCTCAGACAGATGGACTGAGTCAGTTCCTTTGAAATTCTCTGGAAAGCATCAAAGTCCTCAACTTCATAGACATGAGTATCTGCCGGTGGATTGGCAATGGCCTCCAGCTCAGATCTTACAGCGTCCTTTACACCAACAGCAAATATCTCCACATCAATATTCCTAAGGTCGGTGGCCTGAGTCTTAAAAGAGTCAGATGACTTTCCATCGGTGATGAGAACCATGACGCGTGGAACATTATCCCTGGCTCCTCGAGCTGGAACAAAGATTTTATCCTTGACATACTTCATGGCTCTGCCAGTGTTTGTGGAACCACCACGGTAGGGGAAGGTGCGCACAGCTTTGACAGCAGCATTAATGTCATGATGGGTGTTTAGGGCAAACTCAGTGTATGGATCTCGACTGTACTGGACCAAGCTAATCTGTATTTTATTAGGTCCAATGTCAAAAGACGTGACCAAAACCTCCAGAAAGGCACGGACTTTGGCAAAGTTCTTTAATCCAATACTGTATGAGCCGTCAACCAGCAACACCACATCAGCCTGAACATCCACTCCCAGAGAGCACTCTGGAAAAGAAGAGAACATTATTAATTAGTTGAGTATATTTAGTAAGTTGCATTCTCAGGAAGAGTAGACTACACTTACCAGTGGACACCTTGACAGGCTGAGTCTTCGCCAGATCCAGAATAGGTTCACTTGGTGTCAGACCTTTCAGGGCGAACAAACTGATTTCGTACTCAGTCTCAGGGGAGAGGTCTCGTGCATTTATGGATGTCTGCGTGGGTCCAATGTATAGTTCTTGGCGCTTCATTCCAGGAACCATGGGAATAAGAGTTAGCTTGTAGCCAGTAATTTGCCCCGGGGATGGGTCCCATGTCACCCTCATTGACTTGGATGCAATTTCTGTTACTTGCAAGTTAGAGGCAGGCTCCACCACTGGTATCAGATGAAAGACAAAGTACATTGTTGTGAATTAAAAGTGTTTAATCAATGTAGTGCTAAATTGCATTGAATAAATACGATTAGACTTACTTTCATCCCCACTAGCCAAAGCCGTAAGCTGCTCATCTACACTAGAGCAAACTTCAGCGATGATCTTTTTCTGGACCTCTTGAATCAGGTCAAAGTTGGGCACATTGTAAACATGTTTGCCATGAGGTTTAGATGCAATTTCTTTGAGCTCATCCACATCTGCTGATTTGATACCTGCACAGATAGATGTGGATCAACACCAGTAAGTCAAGTCTTTCTGTCTTCTTCGCAGATGTGACAGATGCTCAGTAGCTCTGGAGAACCACATAAGTTATGGAAAACAACAGTATTTTTTTTTTCCTAAAGGCAACCGTGGATCAAATAAAGAGCAACAAATGGAAAAGACAAACTGTTTCCAAGAATAGGCAGGCCTTCACAATTTAAGGAAACACTGAATAATAAAACATACCTAGGACAAATAGTTCAACTCCGATGCTCCTAAGATTTTCAGCATACTCCTCCACCGGGTCCTGGGATTTTCCATCTGTGATGATCATGGCTACCCTTGGAAAACCTTTTCTTGACCCACCTGCCTCAGTGAAGACGTTTTTCAGCAGGTAGTCCAAGGCATCACCTAAATAAAGAAATGCATTATGCAGCTTTTATTTCATATTGGCATAAATAACACATTAAGAAACCCAACACCTTTGTAGTCAATTTATCCCCTTACCAGTCATAGTATTTCCTCCTTTGTAAGGCACTGAATTGATGGCTTGGAGAAGGTCTCCTCTTCTGGTGTAACGCGTAAGGGGGAACTCTGTGCGGGTATCTGAGCTGTACTGAACCACAGCGACTCGGGTCTTGTCCTCGCCAATGTCAAAGGCCCCCGCCAGGGAGCTGATGAAACTACGGATGTACTGAAAGTTTTCCCTGCCAACGCTCCATGAGCCATCCACCAGAAAAACCAAATCTGTGATGGCACTCACAGAACACTCTGACAAAAAACAGTAGAGAAGCAAAAAAGATTAAACACGATCGGAGGGGAAAAACAAATATTAAGATATTGTCTAAAACATTAGACCAATCAGGATTATTAAGACTTACGCCAATTACAATAACAAAAAAAAACTGTTTATTCCTCAAAAAAGGTCAATTTTCATTTCAAAGTAAAGTGCCAGTAAATATATGACACCGGGCTGGTTTTTGGACAGTAAGTTTTATACCTCATTTCTTCTGAATGTGTAAATAAAATCAAATTCCTGACAGGTACTTGGATGGCTATGAGCTGTATTCAGGATTGCAAAGGGAAAAATCAACTGATGCCAAACAGTGGGCTGGTATAGTTACTCCAGCAGATGGCTTTAAAGACTAAACATTCAGCTAAGGCTCCACAGACTAGGATATTTTTTCAGCTTTAAAATCCAAAAGGATTTAAATCATAAGTGAAATTTTCTGGAACATTTAAGATGACTCCACTGACAGGGCTTATGTGACCTCTTTGAATACAAGTTCAAATACCAATTTCTCAAAAAAAAAAAAAATTTTCTAGTTTAAATTTGAATATGAGTTTCAAAGATGCTTTTAAACCATAAAAAGTTTTTTAAATTATAATTATTAATAATTAAATTATATATTGTTGGATTGTATGTTTGCTCGTCCTGTGAGTATCAAAAGTTTGTCTGTTTAGCAATCCATTTTATGATTAAATAAAAAAAAGAGCAAAAACATTTTTCAGAGACTGCATGGGAGCACTGGCCTTATTCAGGTTTTGGTCTCCACCACAGTAAACATACTCACTGATTGCATCCAAATGTGGCTTCCTGCCTCGTCCACTGGTGTTACTTGACTGAACTGAAACAGAGGGAAACTTGGTGAGTAGCAGCAGTAAAACTCCAGATCCATTGTGTAAGTTCTCACAAAAGAGAACAGGCAAGAAAATCAACACATTGTAAAACTGAGTCCGCAGGATTAAGAACCACATTCATAAACTATGCAAAGTGAACAACTCTACACAATAAACAGATGTGACTTTCCAATGTCCCCTGTGGCTAAATGGAAACAGAGTCCTTTCACTTTTTCCATATTTCCATGCTCACGGAAGCTACAGAGAAAAAGGCCTTTTAACTCCATTTTTATCTTTTTAAAAGCCAAATACATTTTAAGTATCTAAAGTCTCTTGATATAAACAAAGACTTGTATTTTGCAAGCTTTGTCATAATACTGTGGAAACTAGATAGGATAAGTACGAATGTACACACTGCAAAAACAATTTTCTTAAATCAAGTGTATTTATCCTTCATTTGAGTAGGTTAATAAGATGATTGCCAATGGAATGAGTTTTTATACTCCTAAAATAAGATAAATAGATACTATGCACTTGCATTAAGACAATGCAATAGTTATTTTCTTATTTTAAAGGTCAATTGTCTTGTTCCATTGGCAAAGTGTCTCAATTACCTCTTCAGTATAAGAAAATATTGACTTTTGCCAGACCTTTTCATTAACATAGTTTGAATCAGTACTTTATGAACTGCTTTATGTGGAGGGTGTCAATGACTGCTATAAAACTGTAAAGTCTGCAGTCTTCTCTGTGACAATGCTTGCCAGAACATGTCAAAAACATCTAAATGAATGAAAAAAAAAATGCTGGAAATGAAGTACTCTGGGTGTAACAGACATTAGATTCCCCAAAATCTTCTTGAAGTTAAAGAACTGTTTAAATTATTCTCTTTGCAAAAAATTATCATACATACTTGTCAGCTGTCCATAGATGGGGATGCTCTCCTCGTAACCATTGTAGGAACTTATTGACACCGTATAGTCTAAATCAGGCGTCAAATTGGTGATAGATGTTGAAGAGACATCTGCATTAAGGTTTAAATATCTTGCCGGTTCGTCTGGAGGAAAAATAATAATAAACTTTTCAGTTTTAGTACGCTGTAAGCTTAAATTAACTTGACATAAACCGTTTTATTCTTACCTGCATCTGATACAATTTGTATTCTGAAGCCCTCTATTGTTGCAGAGGGTCTTACCCATGACATTTCCACTGTGTTCTCATTTAGTATTTTAAATTTCAAATCTGAGGGCGGTTCCACTGCAAACAGAGGATCAAACACGATTAAATTCCATTCCAAAATGAAGGCTATGTATAAATGTGAATTTATGGTCAAAATAAACACAAGGCATTTTATTCAGGCATTCACAGGAATTCCAACAACAAACACTTCACAAGTGAAGCTCGCTCGTTCATTGTTGGGGGCAGGCACAAAGAGCTGACATCCATTGGTGAGAGTGACAGATTGAGAACATGTGACGACATTTGAAGTGAGAAGCCATTTTGGAACAAAATGGCACCTGTTTGAGTTGCTCAAGCAACTCAAGCACTGGCAAACACATTTCAAGTGCACAAAAGTGCAAACACTGTGAACCATACAACACATGCTAAGTGCAGTCATCACATTGCATGCCCCGACCGCATTCTACACTGCTTTTATGATCAAGTTGAGCTCAGTATTACAAAAAGAAAACATCAGTTACTGATTATACAATGGAATAAAGATTGCCATATAGTTACTGATGGTCAGAACTGAGCACCATATGTTATATATACGTTGTATATAAACATATTTCAGAGACAGGAAGTGGTTTATAGTTTATTTGGTTAAAACACTTTGCACTAGTGAGTGGCACCCATCCATTGTAAACCTGTAAAAAAGAATACACAATTCGTCGCTGGAGACTCTTGTGTACTTTTTTCTCTGGCTTAATGCACTAGAAAACAACTTTGTTCAAAAAAAAAAAAAGGTTTAATAACAAAGAAAAAGTGTGCAAAAAAATACAACAAACAGAACAACAAAAAAAACTTCTAAAGTGTTTCATGACGGCGCAAGTCTTTACATTAAGATGATTCAGTCACAGCATCATGCATCATGTACATGAGAAAGTTGTTTAAATGAACAACTTTGACTGACTGGTGAATAGGTAGGTATCCATGTGCAAGTTGGAACCACAGACAGAGATGACAAACGTATTTTAAAATGATATTCTGATTTCAAAATAAAAGGACAGGCAAGTAGGAGTTATTTGCATGCATAAAAAAGTATTTGTTCGTATCAAAAGTGTTCCAAGTGTTAGTTTTCCAACTGTTTTCTGTATCACCTGAAGTTAAGTCAGGCTACATGTTAATATACAAACTATTCCTTACAAGTAACATGCATCTTTAAAAGCTACAAATCGGACAAGGTCTTTGTCACTTCCTACATAATTCGAGACATGCAAACCTTGCATACATACTATAACTTTTTGGTCCTTTTTTTATAGGGATGACAGCATTTCTAAAAATGGTCATCTTCTTTTTTGACCTTCTTTTGGAAAGTACAACTACAAGGATCTCTACTGTATATAAAATTGTATCTACTGTACTTTGCACGTATAAAATAGCTTGTGTAAGAGGGGCCCACATATGATGCAAAAACTCAGCCTGATTACAGAGTGCATTTAACATCAAAACTGATTTAATGAAAAACTAGAAGAATAGATTAGTCTGGTCAAATTTTAGTCTCGGTAAAATATGACTTAGCTAATTGTTTTAATGATGAGAATGAGGATTTATGAACACTTTCTCTGCTAAACCATAAATCTGTTGTAATTGGCATGCATAAAGAAGCTTGTGGGGGTGGAGCCGCAAAACTGGCTGTAGCCCATTGACCCCCACCCTGCTACATCCTGCCATGACTACATAGTACATTTAATGTCAAAACTGATTAAATGCACACACAAGTTTTCCTTTAGACGTCTGTCTGCGTTAAAGGAGCTCGTATTGTATAATCATGTGGATGAAGTTAGTATAAGAGCATGCAGTAGACATTAAACCATCAGCAAAGAGCTGCTCCACACAGGAGGCAAGAATATCATTTTAAAATCCACTATGAGGAAAGGGCCATAGCTTGGGACACACTGAGTGCACAGGCAGATGACAAACAGGAGCCCGCCAAATACTTAAAAATCTGGATTGGAGGTTCACCAACCTGGCATTTCAACTCAAGGAGCCCTGAAGATCGCGTTCCCCTTTTTTTCTTCATCGAATGGAGGCATAGAATAAAGTACTGGACATGTATGAGTGTAGGAAGGTCTGGTGTTGGAACTCAATGGATTGTTCAGTTGTTTTATTATGTTGAAGTGGTTTGAGTGAGACTGGTTAGACTATTTACTCAAGGAACAAAGATGGATTGGTATAGAATGACACACTCTGGTCCGTTATTTAGATCCTGTGGTTTTGCTATTGATAGATGGATGATGGCTCCGTTAGCTCTCAATAAAAAGACACCATGGTTCCCAGGGGCCAGATTCTGGCTACTGTTGTGGTACCTCAGTCTCCATCCTGTCAGCCAGTCAGCGGTCCTGACCAGAACGACCGCCAGGAGAGGAGACCGAGAGAAGAAAGCCATCCCCAAATAGCAGGAAAAATGCCAAAGTAATTCCGCAACATGTGCTGACATTAAACACTGGCGCATATTAACTTTCCATATGTCTCGCAACTCAGCATTTCTACTAATGCCCGCAAAAAAAAAAAAAAGAAAACCTCAGAAAGCCTCTTTGTCTTTGTGCTGTCTGAGGAGTAACTTGTTGCTCTCAGATTTCATCTTTCCATTCCACTTATGAAGATATGTGAGGGCAGACTCCTCTCACCAGGGAGAAGAGCTCACAGAAGGAAAATTTCAGAAAGTTTCCACACCCTGTAATCATCTTTGCTATTAGCTCTGAATGGAGTGGTTGCATAAGACATTAATAAGTCATTTTATGTCAGAACTATTCCTGCTACTTCATACTGTCAGTCATCTATCATGTATTATCCTTTTATTTTTACATAATGGAGAATTCAATTTCTGGTAAAGTGATGTGTGAGCTGTAAATTGAAGCTGGGGATGAAATAATTTCCTTTTATAAACATTTATAACGTAAAACAGTAATCTATCCATATCGTAAACTTTTAGTTGCACTGGAAATGACTGGATCTAACTGATTGTTTTACAAGTTACTGCTGCAGGCGTTCTAAAACCACAGTAGGGAAACTTTTACATATACGCAACATCCTATCCTGTAACATGTTTTAATGAGGACATAAGAGTTTAATTGCAAGGATGTTGGCTGCTTTCCTGTTTTTCATTGGGGAAAAAAAGATGTTGCATCACATTGCTAAAAAAGGAACACACATTATTCGTTAAATAATTTTTGTTCTAGTCACTTTCCTGCTAAATTACACGTGAAATAGGCTTTGATTCGGTAATCTGAAAATTTCTCTGAATAGTTTGTTTATCCAATTTTAATTGCTCCTTAAATACAAAGTCATTTTAGATCAGTCAGACTAAATCCTTTTTAAATTAAAGGGTAAGAGGGAAAAAAGTCAACATGGACTCATTCACATAATGAAAGCACATTCAACAGTAGCTTTATTTAGTTCATCAGGGGTCATACAGTTCATTTATCACTTTCATCATTTACTGAAAAAAACCTGAAAATACATAAATATCTAAAACTGGTGGAGATATAAAGGGAAGAGGAGAAGGAGAGATAAAGAGCAGGACAGGTTATGTCAGAAGAAGAGAAAGACCGGGTGGCTTAATTTACCTTGAGCATCTATAGAGGGCAGCAGGGCTGCGAGGAAGGCAGCAGCCAAGGCCAGCGACAGCCTTATCTTCATGTTTCACCCTGAAGGATCAGCAGCGCATCAATCAATCTGTCAGGACAGAAGGTATGTTTGAGCCACCAGCTTACTCAGCTCACCCTGCTACAGGGGCATCCCAGGGTTGGGACAGGATAACTCTTTAAGTTGGCAGAATTAACAAGTAATCTAAGATGCCTCATCATCTAAAAAAACTCTGTGTACAGGCTTCTTTACACAATAAGTGCCACACCTTGTTGCTTTGAGTCCACACCCATGCCCTGAGGTGTATAATTAACACTGTAGTGGGATTTAAAAAAAAAAAAAAAACTGTTAAGAAAAGCTCATCTGGTTTCAAGTTTCTGAAGACACAAACTGATTGCTTTCTGGCTGCCTTTGATCTCTCTGCTGCTTCACAACGCAGATCACTACATGCACCTAAATCTGTGGTTTTCACTTAGTCATGCCCTCCGGGGAAAGTCTATGTGCTCATTTACGTTTACCAAAAACCAAGTCTGTGCACAAATAACTCAAAATCCTTCATTTGATGCAGAGGGAGTCGGCAGCTGAAGAGTTTAAAGTGACTTCATCATCTTTCCTATAACTTTATATTCCTAAAAAGTATTGTAGAAATGTGCTCTTCAGGTTATTGCAAGCCCAGCTGTTTTATAAGCAGGTTCTGCACCCCGCCTGGTGCTCAAGCAAAAAAACTGCATCGAAAAAATGGGGTTGATATGGATCTGCTGGATCCATTTCATATAAAATAAAATAAAATCTTAAGTGGATGTGCCCTGTAGATGCACCACTGGTTAAATCAACAAAATAAAGTGATCAGTCAAAATAACAAACTTTATAATGGTTTTAAAATGTAAATCCATATAAAACAATAAAGGTAGAACAAAATATATAAAAGGGTGTTATTTTTATTCTATTAAAAAATTTTGAAAAAATATATACATCTATATAAAATTCCATTTAATTATAAATAAAAGTATGCCTACTTACCAATTAAAGCTCCCGTTGTTAACTAAAGGGAGCAGATTTGAGATCAGCCTGCTTGAAGCCCCTCACTCTGTAAGCCAACAGAGAAATGGACCCCTCTGTCCTCTGTAGGGACTACAGGAGCCTCCACCAGCCAGATGTCTCAGGAGCAAAAGCCTTTTTCCGAGTGGGAAGAATCTTTCCACCATCGGCTACTTAACAAGGGGGCAGTTCCAAGCTCTTGCTTTACTAACATATGGGTTTCTTGTGAAAGCTCTGCCTCCTGCTGATGTATGTCCCCCGCAAAGAGGGAGCCCAAGTTTGGAAATGACCCCCACCCCCCCCACATTCTTTTAGTCTGTTGATATAACGAGTCTCCAGATCTAATATGACCTCACAGTACTTGGCCAGACATCTCTGACAGGGGGAAGTGTTTCATTTGGAGCAGAAAGCCTTTAATAATGTAAATATGGATTTAATGCTCTAAAAAAATATGAGGAGAATTTCTCCATCTGGAGAAACAGAGATTCATCAGAACTGATTCATTAAAAAAAGTTGATTTGTAAGTGGGATGCGTTCTGTGCTTTAAACAGAACATGAATCAAATCTGGAAAATTGGTTTCTGTTGGACACAGTAGCTTTAAAGATGTGATCCATTCAACCTCCCTACTGGCAGGCTTTTAGTGCACCCCAGTGTTTAGAATAAAGCATTACAGGAAAGTAGTTCAAAGGGAAGTAAAAGCTTTTTAATCTGGAGGCTAATAAAATGTAGAATCAAATAATATTTTAAACAGATTGCTGATAGTACATAATTCTGTCTAATTGTTGGAACAGAGCTTGTACAGTCCTGAGGAGATATACTGGGCATATATTAAAGCCCATATTCATTTAGGACGTATTTATGCCTTTTTTTACATTAATGCATACAAAAAGAAATATTTTTACTAACTTCGATGTGTTGGATTTTCTCTAATCCACATCAGCTCTGATATTTACAAGTTATATCACAGACATACTATTTTATGTGTCACCATTTATTTTCTGCCAAAAAATAAGCTATATAATACTCTTAGATAAATTATTATCCTTTATATTGAGGGCTTTAAAAGAACCTACATTTTGGACTGCTTTATTTCTTTCAAAAACATTTTTAATGAGTTTTTGAAAATGTAATCCCGGTGGAAGACCTAATTGAGTCCAAATCAAGCTGGAGGAATCCCTCTTTTTCTTTTTTTTATATACAAAATAAAAAAAACATAAAACAAAAATATATATTTTAAAAAAATTATAACGATAAAAAAATATATTAAAAAAAAGGAATCCCTCTTTTGCTTTATTACATTCTTTCTGCAAAAGATCAGTAGGCTACCACAGTTTGACTGAATTATATTATAATAATGATTAAATCATAATGTTTGCAAAGGAACTTTAATTTGGCTGATTGAATATATTCTTCAGAGTTGCATCCATTTCGTCTATGCAATTCACAATATTAAACATGCCACCATCTTTGATCGTAAGTGTGTTTGTTGATAAAAGTCTTGCTCTGACTTATCCAATCATACCTTTTATCGCTGTGACTAACTTCAGCCCACACCCCTGCCTTTATAAGTCTATCCTGCATTTTCCTATCAGTACTGTTGGTGGCTAAACTATTTCATAGCATAGTGTTCCCAACTCAATACCTAACAATTTGTACAATCGCTTCAAAATTAAAATCTTTCCTTTGACTCCAAAAATATGTTTATTTCATCTGAGCAGGAATTTTCCCCAGAAGGTGTTTTCCATTCAGGCAGCAGCGGATTTAATAGAGACGTCCATTTTGGAGCAAAGGCTTGTTTCTCATTCAGTTGCAATCTGGTTCAATTTGACAATGGTGTTCCAGAAGAATCAGATTCATGGTAAACATTAATAATCCCTGAATGCGTAGCAGGACAGATGGGAAAATGTTTTATCCATTTTAGTACCGTACTATAAGTACATTTTGAAACTACAACAAATTGTAAAGCGGTGATATAATTTTATATCATGTTAATGTCTGTCTAAAAGATTTTATTTAAGGAAAAAATAATTGTTGTGGTATTAAAGTATAAAGAGATTGATTAATACAACATAAATACAATCACCGACCACTTTATTAGGTACCCCAATGCGAGTAATGGGTTGGACCCCCTTTTGCCTTCAGAACTGCCTCAATTCTTCGTGGCATAGATTCAACAAGGTGCTGGAAGCATTCCTCAGGGAGTTTGGTCTATATTGACATGATGGCATCACACAGTTGCCGCAGATTTTTCGGCTGCACATCCATGATGCAAATCTCCCGTTCCACCACATCCCAAAGATGCTCTATTGGATTGAGATCTGGTGACTGCGGAGGCCATTTGAGTACAGTAAACTCATTGTCATGTTCAAGAAACCCGTCTGAGATGATTCCAGCTTTATGACATGGCGCATTATCCTGCTGAAAGTAGCCATCAGAAGTTGGGTACATTGTGGTCATAAAGGGATGGACATGGTCAGCAACAATACTCAGGTAGGCTGTGGCGTTGCAACAATGCTCAATTGGTACCAAGGGGCCCAAAGAGTGCCAAGAAAATATTCCCCACACCATCAGACCACCACCACCAGCCTGAACCGTTGATACAAGGCAGGATGGATCCATGCTTTCATGTTGTAGATGCCAAATTCTGACCCTACCATCCGAATGTCGCAGCAGAAATCGAGACTCATCAGACCAGGCAACGTTTTCCCAATCTTTTATTGTCCAATTTCGATGAGCTTGTGCAAATTGTAGCCTCAGTTTCCTGTTCTTAGCTGAAAGGAGTGGCACCCGGTGAGGTCTTCTGCTGCTGTAGCCCATCTGCCTCTAAGTTCGACATACTGTGCGTTCAGAGATGCTCTTCTGCCCACCTGGGTTGTAACGGGTGGTTATTTGAGTCACTGTTGCCCTTCTATCAGCTTTAACCAGTCAGGCTATTCTCCTCTGACCTCTGGCATCAACAAGGCATTTCCGCCCACAGAACTGCCGCTCACTGGATGTTTTTTCTTTTTCGGACCATTCTCTGTAAACCCTAGAGATGATTGTGCGTGAAAATCCCAGTAGATCAGCAGTTTCTGAAATACTCAGACCAGCCCTTCTGGCACCAACAATCATGCCACGTTCAAAGTCACTCAAATCACCTTTCTTCCCCATACCGATGCTCGGTTTGAACTGCAGGAGATTGTCTTGACCATGTCTACATGACTAAATGCACTGAGTTGCCGCCATGTGATTGGCTGCTTCGAAATTAAGTGTTAACGAGCAGTTGGACAGGTGTACCTAATAAAGTGGCCGGTGAGTGTATATTGCTCCTTCATCAGACAACCAAGTCCGGTACAGCAATCAGTTTCATTTAGACTTCTTCCATATAAAAATCTCACACAAAATATATCCATTCCCCCCGAAATAGATCAAAACAAGTGTCAGCGATGTGACTGTAATCCAACACAACTGATTATACGGACCTTGATGATACATCCTGAAATTATAGTAATCTTACCCTCAAAGACACTGTTTCCATAATAACATTGGGGTCAAATCATGGGTGCATTGTGTATTACATCCCCTAAAAACAGACTGAGACATCTGAAGGCTTAGTCATCAAATCTAGAAGCAGTGCTGACATACCAAACACACTGAGAGCCAGTGTGGCTCTGTGGAAAAAAAAATCCCACCCTACAGATGAATTGCCGCACTATTATTCTGCCTATCAAAGACGGAAAAAAAGCAATTTATCATTCTAAAAGAACAACACATGGGCATCTATTTCATGCTAAAGGGTCAGATGCTTTGATTTCCCAATAAGAGATTTACAGTTTGTTTGTAAAGAGAAAATCTGGGGTTAACCAAAGTTATATGATGGTAAACAATACAGTCTTACATAATATGATTTGAATAGCAAGTCAGTGGTCCACTAGAGTTGCATAAATTTGTCTAATTGTGCAACATCTGAGCTTTGCAATAAGTTGAACTATAGTCCCATCTGCTGGCCAGATGAAAATTAGAAGGACAACTTCTCCATGTAATACTTAGAATATGAGTTTTTTTAACCATTTGAAGGAAAAGAACGGTCATATTCACAATTCAAACTTCTGAAAATACTTTATTAGATACTTTTCTATATAATAAGTGTTTTTAATTAAGAGTAATTTTCATTTGAATGTGCTTTACTGGAGACATCCATGTTGGTCAAAGAACACTACTGCCACCTACAGGGTTACGTCATGGTGTGGTATCGGCTGTTGAGCAAGTCCCAATGCTGTATCTGGTGTTTGTCACAAGTCGATATTATATAAGTCATCTTGAAAAAATTGTTCTTCAAATACTGTTAGGTAGTGATGGGTTAAAGAGGCAGCTCGAAGCATTTCGACACATTGCAAATCTGTATTGATGCTGCGTTGATACTGTCTAACAGAATACTGCACCTGCTGGACATTTAGAGACACTACATGTAGCTTATTTGACAGACTAAACTGAATTGATTTGATGAACTAGTACAATGCTATAATTTAAGTTATTGTAGGTCATTTTTTATCATTTCATACTTATATTTAAATTGAAAATATCTTTGATATTTTTAGATGCAGCCAATAAATAATGTAAACATATATCATAACGTGAAAATTTAGGGGAACTGTGAATGAGGATGATTGTGGACCAGGATTTAAAATCATTTCATCATTTTTTGCAGATTCATCATGTTGACAGATGAGTTTTTAAACATAGTTTAATGAGTCAGTCAGTTAGAAACAACTCCTGTATCAGTCACATGATTTTCTTGAAACGACATGTGCTTTGCTCAATGTTCTCCACGTATGCACCAATGCATCGGTGTTAAGCCAGGTGTACAATGTGCGAGTTTCGGGCCAATTTTCCAGTCGTGCAAGAATTCTCCAATCGGCCCGACTTTCAGCCTGATTGTGCGTTGTGTAGTGTACAGGGGGTAACGAGGGGCAATCAGCCTCTCACGACCACCTCCCAATCTGGAAGCGTGAGGTCGGGGGCAAATCGCTCAGTGCATAAACAAGGATTCCTCTTCTCTTCTTCCTCTCAGATGTAAACACAGGATCATGGCAGGGGTGTGAGTGAAAAGGAGTTCTGTAAAAATGACAGACCACATTTGCTCAGCCATGTCTTTGTCAAAATACGTCGCCTTTTCATTTTAGGGCTTTAAGCA